AGAGCCAAACCAGCAGCAACTGCTGGCTTCGTTTTCAACAATTCGACGAAGCCCCCCCCCCTCTCCACCCACCGCTCCTCGTAGGGATGGGACGCCTGGGGCGACCCCCCCACCCTTGCCCCCCCGCCCCTCCCCCCTCCCCCCAAGGCCCCCCCCTCCCCATCTCATCCCATCCCACATTCGCTCTGTCACTGCTTTTGTGCAATAGCGCAACACAATGGCATCGCGCGAATCAACGCAGCTCGTGAGATATTTGAGTGATTTGAACTTAACGCGATGGATTGGAAAGAATGTCCTCTATTCAATGGGCCCTCTGTACACATTTAATCGAGTAAATGCGATTGCTGTTCTTAAGTGGGTCAGCCTTTATGCATTGACTCTCTATATCGCGACAGCCTATTTCTACAACAATAACAAGATTAATTCCAGCCATTCTCAATCTACAAATGTATGAAAGCCTCCCCAAGATGTGTCGGTTATGGAGCACCCCCCCCCCCTCCCATGCTTAGCCAGGCTGTGTCAGTGCGGATTGGGGAACGGATGGTTCTGGACCGGTTATGATATCCATCGCCACTGCAGGTGTTAGCTCCGTCCGTGGCCAGGAATCGAACTCTGGGGTCTCATCGCGTTTCACGCTAACCACCGTGCCACCGCTCCACCACTCTCTCGACTCGCGTCTACGTGTGCGTGTGTGTTATGTCAGAACTTGGCCTTTGCCTCCATTAGGTCGACTTAGCCTTAAATGCATACCTGGACAAAGGCGGGCGATTTTAATAAGATGCTCGCTATCACCGCTTGCTCCAACAGTATATAGAAGCCCATGCGTGGAATAATGTGTGGATGTGTGTGTGTGTGAGAGATGGAGATAAGTGATACGTCGAATATGGTAATCATAAGATCTTGGGGGATGGAGCTGTCCAATAGTGGAAAGATAATAGCTCGATGACAATTGTATTGAAATGGTCTATTGTCAAGCATGGCTCACGCACGACGATCGTTTTGGGTGGCTTACATCCAGCAATCCAGCAGTGGATAGATGATGATGATGGATGATGACAGCTGTCGGGGAGTTTTTTGCTGGGTTGTTTCCGCGTGGGGGGTTTCAGCGAGATGGCAACGTGGGAGCGCTCCGCGAGAACGGCAAGGCAAGATGATTTACATTTTGAAATGTTTACGTAGCTGCTGCTGCTGCTGCTGATGCTGCTGATGATGACGACGATGCCGCCGATGGCGAATTGTAATTGGCGCACGTGAGATGCCGGTCCACGCGCGCGCACGTGGCCGCGCACGTGGTTGCTTGCGCGCGTTACGTAAGATTGGTGAATGTGTGAGCGAGCGAGCGAGCCCGGGTTGATGGTGACGGTGTTGGGGGGGGGGGAGAATCAGAGGATGGCGATGCATCGAATCAGACGTGGATCTACAACAGTGGTTCTTAAATACGTAGCTTTGATGAAACAAAGTAGTTGTACTTACGTGCCCGTGCATAATTTGTGTTTTTTTCGATGATATACGTGACAAATTCCTGCGGGGGGAGCTGGTAGGTACGTTGGGTTGTTCGGTCAATGGCCAGGGTCAACGGCGGCGTGGTGTATTCCGCAAATATGCCCGACTGTGAGGGCGGGCACAAGCCGGCGTGAGTAGGTAAAACGTTGAGTTTTATAAGGGCACCACCGGGTGACCAGCCCCTCCCCACCCAGCCCCACCCTTCCCACCCCCCACCCAGCCCCACCCTCCCCACCCTTTCCACCCAGCCCCTCCCCACCCTCCCCACCCTCCTCTCCCCTCCCCACCCAGCCCTACCCTCCCCACCTATCCCCTCCCCACCCTCCCCTCCCCACCCAGCCCCTCCCTCCCCACCCAGCCCCTCCCTGCACGACGGACACAATAATCCCCTGTGGGCTGGTGTAACCAGGAGATTCCTACCAGTAAAAAAAAAATTGCCCATGTCTCGCACCACCAGAAATGGCATCTCCCACGCCCAGGGGATGCGTGCTCCCCAGGCAAAGAAGAACCACTGGTTTATAAGAACCACTGGTTTAGAAGAACCACTGGTTTTGAAGAACCACTGGTTTTGAAGAACCACTGGTTTGGACACTTCCCAAGGGAGTGCAAGAGAGGCGGCGGTGGGGGCAGGGAGGCTGGGGGGGGGGGGGTCCCGAAATGTCAAGCTTTTAAAATATATCCTTCCATTAATATCGGGCATGTACAATTGAATAGAGCCTTACATCAAAAAGGCAATCTATTGTATCTGGTGAATAGCGTTAACATAGCATTTCTTGGTGGTTGGGGGGGGGAAGACCTCGGGGGGGGGGGGGAGATCTCGCCCCCCCCCCCCCCCACAGCCGAGAGACGTGACGACACGTGGCACGGCGCGCGGGTGTCACCTGGAAACCATGGCAACTTTGTGACCCGCATCACGTGACACCAGTGACGCGACATGCCGTTGTGGAAGCGCGTGGCACGTGCTGCATGGCGCCCGTAGGACATCTGGGATCGAGTCGAGAGACGGTCGCTGTCAATGGCGTTGCTTCCTTCTTAACTGCAGCACCAAATCACACAAACGCGGCGAGTTATTTTGTATTGACCCGGGAGCTCGACGATGACTGTCAGCTATCTCGGGATGAAGGTACAGTCGACAGTGCTTTTCGTTCGGGGAATTGTGGCAGCAGTGATGGGGAATGAATAAACACGTGCTTTGAATGAGTGAAGGACGCGACTGATTTCATCGCCGACTTAATTCTGGTTATCTATACGCGTGGCCCAGTCGCCTCACGCGAGAACAGGCAGAGAGATAGCCCTGTAAAATGACGCCCACGACGGTGATGATGATGTTGGTGTTGATGATTTTGAGTGACGTACAATAATTATGATATCGTATATCTATTATATCTAGTGATGGTGATGATGAGAACTGATCCGGAGTTGTTGTTTTTTTAGGTTAGGCCATGTGGTAGCTTCATGTAAAAAATCCTGTCATTGGCATAACAGGGTCACGTGGCTCAACCAAAATTAACTATTGGTGATGATGATGATGATATATTGTGATGAAGTTAAGGATCTCTTGACTGACATTGATGAATAACCACGCACACGCAAAGTTGTAATCGCTGTGTGAATTATATTTGGTGGTTTAGTGAGGGATGAGGTGAGGGAGGTGGTGAGCGATGGGGATATTTCTGTATGTTGAACTTCTTTCGCGCCGTACGTAGCCAACCGTGCTATTTGGAAGTGCGGAGTTGCGGGTGAGGGGAGGTGGTGAGAAAAGGTGTAGAGGGATGGCGGTGATGTGGTGTGGGTTCGGGGTGACGGAAGTTTGGCGCGATGGGATAACACATTCCTGCGGAGGGAGCTGGTAGGAACGTTGGGTTGCTCGGTCAATGGCCAGGGTCAACGGCGGCGTGGTGTATTCCGCAAAAATGGCCGACTGTGAGGGCGGGCACAAGCCGGCGTTAGTAGGTTAAACGTTGAGTTTTATAAGGGCACCACGGGGTAACCAGCCCCTCCCCACCCAGCCCCACCACTCCCACCCCCCACCCAGCCCCACCCTCCCCACCGAGCCCCCCTCCCCACCCAGCCCCACCCCTCCCACCCCCCACCGAGCCCCTCCCCACCTTCCCCTCTCCACCCAGCCCGACCCCTCCCATTTTTGGATTCACGACGGACGAACGGACACAATAATCCCCTGTGGGCTGGTGGAACCAGTTGGTTCCTACCAGTAACAGGTGGTGATGAGGGAGGAGGTGAGCGATGGGGGGGGGGGGGGGCGAAGGAGGTGGTGAGGGAGGTGGTGAGAGGCGAAGCTGGTGAGTGATGGAGCGAGGGAGGTGGTGAGCTGTGGAACGAGAGGTGGGGAGTGAGGGATTGGTGCTGTTGGTGAGGGAGGGGTGGGCGTGAGGAATGTTGTGAATGATTTAGGAACGTGCATGAGTGAGCGACGAGGCTCGAGGGAACGAATGGACGAATGAACGAAGGAGAGAAGGAGAGTAGGGATTTTCCAAAGATCGGTTTCCCATCCCCTCCCTGCCCAGGTTCGTAGCGCAGCGCGCTCACCATTACACTACCGCTCCCTTCTCCCCCACCCCCTACACGCCCGCACATTCTCCCTCCCTCCCTCCCTGCCTCCCTCCCTCTCTCTCCTGCACCCCCCCCCCCTCCTCCTTTAGCTGAACACATCGATACGCAAGGAGCTCTCGTGCAGCTGGCGCCGGTGCGCAACGAATCCTCGCCGATTCATCTCGATTAAAGCAGCAGCAGCAGCATCAGCAGCATCATCAGCAGGATCATCAGCAAGCATCATCGGCAGCAATCATCATCATCAGCAGCAGCAGCGGCAGCAGCAGCAATCATCATCATCATCAGCAGCAGCAGCATCAGCAGCAGCAGCATCAGCAAGCATCATCAGCATCATCAGCAAGCAGCAGCATCATCAGCAGCATCATCAGCAGCATCAGCAAGCAGCATCATCAGCAGCATCATCAGCAGCATCATCAGCAGCAATCATCATCAGCAGCAGCAGCAAGCAGCATCAGCAAGCAGCATCAGCAAGCAGCATCATCAGCAGCAAGCAGCAGCATCAGCAAGCAGCATCATCAGCAGCAATAATCATCATCAGCAGCAGCATCATCATCAGCATCATCATCAGCATCATCATCAGCAGCGCTCCGAGCTGACTATGGGCACCGCAGCAGCGCACAGAGCTGCTGTGCGCATGGCGGCGGAGGCGGAGACGCTGGATTTGACGCACATCGCTAAGCATTGATAGTGGGGGGCGCCAGGGATTGGTGGGGTGCGGCGGCGGGGGGAGTGGGGGGGGGTAAAGGTGGGTTCACGGATCGCGTCTCGCACCGCACCTGGCGAGAAGAGAGCTCTCCGTGTCTCAATCTCTCTCCGTCCGTCTCCTTGTCTATCCGTGTGTCTGTGTCTCAGTGCCCCCCACCGCCCCCCCCCGCCCCCCCCCCCCCCCCCGTGTCTGTACTGGGCTCAGCCTCTTGTCTCAGTTTCTCTCCGTCTTCCCTGTGCGGTATATATCCATCTGCGTGCGTCTCTCTCTCTCTCCAATGCTCGCTCTCTTGCTTTCTCTCTCGCTCTCTCTCGATATCTCTCTCTCTCACTCTCCCGTCTCTCCAGCGTCGTCGATCAGCTCCAATGAAAGCGACGCGCTCCTAACGAACGCCCGGAAAACATCGGTCTCATCGATTCCACGAGAGGAGACGACCACGCGTTCAAGCTGCGACATTCCCCGTGTATCACGCGCAGTGTTTATCATTACACGTACTATTTACATTCATCAGCACCACCGTCACCATCATTTTAGATATTGTTTATCAACGGCTCTATCATCTTCACCATCATCTTCACCATCATCATCAGCAGCAGCATCATAATCAACATCAGCATTAACAGCTGCAGCAACACTACAAACGATATCATCGTTATTATCAACACACACTTTTACCATAAGCAACACCGGCATCACAATCAGCAGCAGCATCACCTAAGTCAACATCATCTAAATCTGCAGCAGCACCACCATCGCCACGATCATTGTTTTTTTTTAAACACATGCTCCATCACCATAAGCAGCAGCTATAAATTCATCACCACCAGCATCATCATCATAATCATCTAACATCCTCATCATCATCATCGGCGGGCATGCAGAAGCTATTGCATTACAATGACGAGCACATCATGCACGTGGCACGGGTGGCGCGCGTCGAAGGCTCGCGCCGCGGCTACCTCCGCGTCCGCCTCGCCGCCGGCGTCGGACCCGCGCTGCCCGCGTTACCCGCACTGCCCGCACTGCCCGGACTGCCCGGGGTCTCGACCGGCGGGCCCGGTGGGCCGGGTGGGCCAGACGGGCCCTTGGGAGCACCCGACGGGACGTGCCCGCAGCAGCAGGACCCATGGCCGTGGCGAGCGGCGTGGTGCGCGCTCCACCAGAATCTGCTCTTCTGCTTCGAGAGCGAGGGTAGCGCGCGGCCTCACTCCGTCTTCCTCCTGGAGGACTCCGCGTGCGAGCGGCCTCACCGCTCGGGCCACGAGGAGGAGCAGGAGGAGGAAGACGGTCAGGTGCGAGCCTTGGAACGTCGAGCTTGTGTGTGTGTGCGTGTTTTAGATTAATTGCGTGTGTGTGATAGAGAGAGAGAGTTTGTTGATGTGTGCGTAATATCGTCGTAATCATCATCAGCAGCAGAAGTCGTGGGAGTAGCAGCAGAACGGTGGTGATTGATCCGAACTGTGTTCATTATCATCAGCGGCAACAGCAGCAGCAGTAGTATCAGCATTAGCGTCGCTATCATCAGACGCAACAGCAGAAGCAGCGACATCCTCATCATCCTCATTGGCAGCAGCAAGACCCACGACTATTATAATTACGTATATTCTTCATCATCATCATCGGCAGCAGTTGCGTCAACAGCGTCATTGTTATCAGCAGTACCATCATCATCATTGTTCACCACCATCAGCAGCAAAAACATAATCAGAGCAGCATTGTCAACAGCACCGTTATTATCATCCGTAGCAGCAGTAAGATCAACTGCAGCAACAACAGAAACAGCATTATCAGCTGAAGCAAAATAATCACCAGCCAGTGGTGGCATTATCGGTAGCAGCTTGATCAGCATCATTAGCAGAAGCAGCAACAATAGCATCATCAGCAACAACAGCATTATCATCATCAGCAGACACAGCATAACGCTGCATATGAAGAAGTCGTTTGCATCCTGCTCGGTACGAATCCGGAGAAAGCGCCAACACGCATACGAGAGGAGAGCACTCAAAGATCCGCACAGACGGATTCACGAATCCCGCTCGCTGTAGCGCCATCTCCTGGTCACCTTGGGGCCCATCTGTAGTATATGCAAAGCATTGCAACCTCATACTGAGCTCACGGTCTGCATCGGGAAATGTTCGCGATGCCAGCGGTGTTTTTCATTTTACTTTCAACCAGAAAATGCCTCACCGAGTCTCGAGAGTGTGAAATTAATGCATTTGTTTATTTTAAAGAGGGTCCTGCATTAAGATGTTTTGGCCAATTATTGTATTTGTTCTTCATCTCGGAGGAAGCCGAAGAAACCTCGCACAGAGCCTCGCCACGCATCCGAGGGGGGGGGGGAAGAAGCCCAAAATTAAATAAATATATATAATGGTTATGGGTCTGCAACTGAGTGGCAGCCAGAGAGGACGTAGCCCGGCGTGGAGATGGAGCGATGGAATCAGCTTGTATGCAGGTGCTCAGTGGATTATAATCACGTGGCAGGACCGTGAGAGTCGGCGAAGGCGAAGGGAGGGAGGCCGTCATCGATGCATTATTGGATTGATCATCGCTGCCGCTGCTGATCAGTGATGATGAGCATGCTGTGTAATACTACAGCTCCGATTAGCACGATCACCACTACTACCACCACCATCATCAACATCACCACCATCAGCAGCATCACCACCATCATCATCGACATCACCACGCTCACCACTACCACCACCACCATCACCACTACCACCACCATCAGCAGCAGCATCATCACCATCATCAACATCACCGCCATCAGCAGCAGCATCACCACCATCATCATCGACATCACCACGATCACCACTACCACCACCACCATCACCACCATCAGCGACATCACCATCAGCATCATCACCTCTGCTGTGGTCAGCGTGCTCGCCACTGGGTGCGGTTTTCTAGGAAATTCCACAGCCACAAAGAATTTTATTGGTTAACTAAACCACAGCGGCTGTTTACAACAAAACAAAAACCCACCCGTGACGTCTTGGAAAATAATAATAATATTATTCGTGTGTAGGTGCGAGATAAAGTATCATACCGCAAGCATCGTGAGAAGTGGCGCTTGGGGAGGTCTTCATCCAGCAGTGGATTGATCATGGCGGCGCTGCTGTTGCTGCCGATAATGATGACCGTGTCAACGTAGCTTTCAAACAAGAGAAACGTGTTTAAAAAAAACAGCCATTTGTGCATTATGCCAAACAAATTACGAGCATTTCCTTAACAAATGCATTCTCGTCATTATTGTCTTAGATCAACATCAACATGCATCGGAGCAAATGTAACTCCGGCTGAGTGATGCATTGAATAGACGACGGTGGATCGGTTCCATGTCCAGTAGGACTCATCAGCACAGCATAGTCACATCCGCACTGCGATGGGCTTTGCCGTCGTCATTTTACGTAGCTGCATCAAACTTCATAGCTCATCGGATTCCTCCAGTCTAAATGAAGATCATGAAGTCTTTCTCTCTCTCCTGGTTAACCAAAGGACGTAAAGAAACTCGTCGTTAGTCCACGTACGCCAGGATAACGTACTCGGACTCGGTTCAAATACGAATTAAGCCGTTATTCGCTGCACGCGCCTGATGATTGCTAAACGCGCGCCACCTGCCGTGGATATCGCTGCTTAATTGTAATTCAATAATTAGCCGAGATATGCATGTCCTTTTGTGTTCTCTCCCCCCCCCCCCCAGCTGTGTTCCTCCAGTTATTGTTGTTGTTGTTTGGGGAACCTGTTGTGAGGACGTTTGTTTTGCTCATTTTGCAGCAGTCTTTGTTGACTTGTATAATTATCTCCTGTAGTTTAGTCTCACGGCTGTTTTGCTGACGATAAGACCTTCTACTCTAAGACCTTTTTGAGGGGCGCCGTGGTGTCGAGGTGTGAACTCCCTCGCCTGGTATGCAGGAGGTCGTGGGTTCGATCCCAACGCTGACACCTGCTGCTTATTAGGAGTTTGCATGTTCTCCCCCGTGGTAGCCTGGATTTTAATCTGGCTCTTCCTCCGGTCGTCGCCTCCACATTTAGAAGCACGCTTTTGGAGTATTTCGCCGTGAAAAACGTCCACGTCATAAGCCGCCACTTCGTTGAGCTATAATCTGTGACCAGGTCGCTTCTGAAAAGGAGCTATGTCGCTCTGCGTGGGCCTTCTTACATGGTAAAATTAAAGGATAATGTTTTACATAGTAAAGATGTTACCCCTGACGCACCACGAGAAAGGGGAGTAGAGTCAATGAAAACACGAACGGAAGCAGAGACAGGAAGGGAAGAGGGGAAGGAGGAATGCCGGGACGGAAGTTCCCGAGACGGACAAAGAGGAGGGAAGAGCACAGCTCGGGATGAGCAGCGAGGGAGCCTGGAGGAGGAGGAGGATGATAAGCGGCGGTGGTGCAGGGAGAGGAGGAGGAGGATGATGAGAGGGGAGAGACGAGAGGGAGAATGAAGGTATGAGCTGCATGGCGCAGCGTCTGTTTTAACAGGGGGCGGAGAGAGGGGATGGGGAGGGTTTATAGTGGGGGTGGCCAGACACAAGTCACGTGATTTATTTTAAAATTATTTTAAGATAAAATTCACGGAAGGCTCGAGCTGATTTAGAAATACAGTGTCGACATCTCATTATAATGGGCCATATTGGTTGCAAAAACAAACAAAAAAAGAGCCCTCCGTGTTAAACTGGCGGTGCGCGCGAGTCAAAACACGCGAGCCAATTCGAACGAGACGGAGCCACGACGGCGGAGAGCGAAGCGAAAAGACTCCAATCGAGATCGCGACCACGTGCAATGCAATGGCGAGTGGTGGGAGAATTGTTGCACGCCGAGAGAGGGAGGGAGAGAGGGCTTGGGGGATGTCTGCACGCGGAGGGAACGCCACAGATTGGGTTGCCTGTCACCCACGTGCGACCTCGTTTCCTCCTTGTTCGTGTGTGTGGGGTTTTTTTTTGCGCCATCTTGCCCGTGGTCTTCCCCCAGCGCCATCGCCCACGGTACTTCTTAATTTAGCAACGTGCTTCGTGCCGCTGAGCGTGGCTCGCCACGTGCCCCCACACACCCCCCCCCCCCTCTTTCCAACTCTCACGTTCATCCAGTAGCAAAGGGACGTGGGGCCCCTTATGCTTTGGTAAACACAGAAAAGACAAAGATCCCCCGTACAGCCTTATCAGACTTTTGGGACAAGTGCTGTTATCGAGCAGCACCGAAAAAGGCCGGCACGCGACGGACGGTGAGGTTGGGTGGCCATCACCACGCCCGGCCGCCTTTGTGTCCCAAGTGGCGAAGTGTTTACACACCGCACTAGGGGACTCATTGGAGCCTGAGTCGACCTAGGGGAGGCCCAGAACCGGTTCAGATAATCGTCACTGGCGTTGGTGACCGCGAGCAGGTGTCGAACTTAGCGCCACCACAGACGAGACTGAGCGATTTACAATTAGCAGAGAGAGAGAGAGAGAGTGGGGTTTGCCAGGTCCAACATATTCCTTGAACGTTTCCAGCGACGGGATTCATGATCGTCTGCGGGTCGTTTCGAAGCGGTGGAAGTGCCAAGGCGTTCCGTGTGGGCCCGCAGGGCCCGCACGGAACGAAAGTTGCAAAGGCCGGCTACAGCCCGCGGGGCCGTAGGGACTCGCCCACTGCTCGCCCGGGGGGACACGAAACGTCGGAGATGTTCGTCTGTTCCCTCTGTGCGCGCCGCGCTAATCGTTCAAGCAGAATTGACGCGATGCTATTTATTCCCAACAGCTCCGCTACGCACCCCTCCCCCCGCCCACTCCATATCCACCACCACCACCACCCCCCCCCCAATATTCTCAAGTCACCCATGGTGGATAATTAATAGTCGGGATTGATGACTGCCTGCCTGCCTAACCACCACCCCCTACTACCAGACTAACCTCGTATGTAACCCCCCCTCTCCCATCACCCCCGCTCCCTCTCTCTCCTCCACACTCCACCTCCCACACGAACGCCCCCCGCCTCTTTTTTGACTCGGGTGGCTGTGACGTTTAAAGATCAGAGCGCGCGTGTGTGTGGGTAGCAGGGCGTAATAAGAAGAGGGGGCTTTCCCCGGTGAACACGTGTTCGCCGCTAGCGGAGATGTCACGGATGCGTCTATTCGTAATCGATCGGCGTCGATTAAGGCTCGCGACGCGCGTGTGGATCTAATAATTATCGATCGATGCGGCCGCTTGAGGCCGCTACGTTTCTCCAAAGTTAATCGAATCGCCGTGGCTGGAGATATATCAGAAATCGAGAAGGGTTTGGCTTGCAGGTTTATTATTTTTGAATGGAAGACCGTAAATACGACGCGTCGTAGGCTTGAGCTGGCACAGCAATGGATTATTGAGTCTGTCTGTGCGGAGGAGCTGCGGTGGATTTCTTCGGCAACGCTGGTTTCCTTCCACGCGAAGCCCAACACGGCGCTGGTGCATTTTTGAGGCCACGCGTCGTGTCGAAGGCTCCCAGACAGGTCAGGGAACAGCGTGGGTTGAACTGACTGAGATGACTGGCAGATGCATCACCTGTGTGCCCCCCCACAGTGCCGACTTGCTGGCTTTTATCCGCCCGTCGCTCCATAGTTCTCTCACTGCTTCCAAAGCTGCCGAGTAGCGTCCTTCACGAGCCACCTCCACAGAGGCCGATCTTGACACCGCTGGTGCCAGTTATCGGCAAGTCCACTCGGCTCCACGTATTTCTCTACCGCATCAGCGCACATCGCTTTTTAGACCAGTGCCGTGTCTGATTAGCGGCCAAGTGGAAACTGTGGGTGGGTTTGAGGGTTACATGACCCAGCCAACGTAGCCTCGCCTGCCATTAGGAGCTCACCGATGGGTCTGTCACACCCACACACAAAGACAAATAAACCCCGTATAGTCTAACAGATAGTTGTGGCAAGTGCCGTTAACGAGCACATATGAAGGCCGGCACGGCACACGAGAGCGTGGGTGGCTAGCACCACGCCCGACCGCTTTTGTCTCTCCAGTGGCGATGTTTACACATACGCACCAGGTACTCATTTGAGGCCGAGTCGACCTAGGAGAGCCCCAGGACCGGTTCAAATATTCGCCACTGGTGTTGGCCATGAGCGGGAATCGAACTCGGGAAGCCGGTTTAGTAGTGGAGCGCGCTAACCACCACACCACCGCTCCCGCCACACCACACACACACACCCCACACACACCCCACACACGCGCGCACACCTACACTCACCTAGACCCACCACACAACCCATTCGCACGCCGTGTAATGCCGCAGGATTGTGACGCGTGCCCCCCCCGCCCGCTATAGACTGCGAATATGGGTTGGGGGGCTTCTGTGGGAGGGGGGGGGGCTGTATGAAGACACATGTCACGGGTTATTTATTTATTAGGACCCTCCGAGACTGCGTTACCCGAGTCCCGCGCGAGATCGATGGAGGCGCGGGGGGCTACGGAGGCCACGGAGAAACCCGCGGCAGCTCTAACGTGCAAGCTGCCATTTCGCCAAAAAAAAGAAATGCCCCATTGCTTGGACGAGGGGGCCTTCTCCCGCCCCCCGCCGCCCCACGCCGTGCCGGTCATGGGTTCTTCAACAACCATACTTCACCACTGCTGGTCAAGTGCGGGCTTGGTGAAGGCGGGCGCATAGACGTGGGGAGCATAGTAGTACAGCACAACGATGTATATTTGCTGCACTCTGGTCACTTGGCTGACAACGTTGCTCCAGCAGCATGGCTTCCAGATTGCATGGCGGTCGTTCATCCAAAGCATGATAGATCCAGGCTCACCCCCACCCTGCTTAGCTTGAGAGGAGATCTGGCCAGATCGGGGACATTTCAGATGATTTGACCACCTGCTTAGCTTCAGAGATCTGGCCAGATCGGGCGAATTCCGGATGATTTGGCCACCAGGCTCAGGGCTTAATTTTAGACGGGTAAAAAAAATTAGATATGTTGTCTGTCCTCGTGCAGCACACCACGTCCAGTATACATCGTCTAAGCCAGGCTGGGGCTACTACTTCAGTTGTCACATGCCACCGGATCACATTCAAGTGTGAAACTCAGAGAGCGCCACAGTTATTCGCTCTATGGAGAGAGAGAGAGAGAGAAAAAAAACCAAACCCCATCAACAGCACAAGCACATCTATTGCAAGCGAAACTAAATGACGGCAGCCGTCAATTGATTTAGCCCAAGTCAATGGCTTTTGTCAAGTTATTTCTGGGGAATGTATTTTGTGTTGTTGTTGTTGATATCTCCGCTGCTCGGTGCTCGGGCATTCCTCAAATTCCGAGACGCGTCCGTGGTTACAGCCCCGATCGATACAAAGCAGCAGCAGCACCCCCCCCCCCACGTGCGTGCGTGCGCACAGATCCCGGCTGTCTCCGTAAAGACAAAGATCCCCCGTGTAGCCTTAACAGACTGTTTGGGGCAAGTTGCTCTTGGCGAGCACCTTTCATGAAGGCCGTGGCACGGGTGAGCGCGCACGACGAGGGGCGTGGGTGACCAGACACTGACCTCACGGACCAGGTACAGGACTCGCTTGAGGCTGAGTCGACCTAAGGGGGGAGAGGCCCAAGAAGGGTGCAGATAATAGCCACTGGCGTTGGCCGCGAGCGTGAATCGAACTCTGTGTCCGCAGTGCAGTGCGCTAACCACGACGCCACCGCTCCCCATCCTGTATAAAACACGACCGGCACACACGATTTGCGATCATTAACCTCTCCCCTCTCCATCATCCCACAGTGATTCCGTGATTGTATTATCCAGTCCCCGTGGTTTGTAGTGTCGTCTACAAGTCGTATTCGCTGTATCCGTCTGGTGCCTCGATTCGTGTGCAATGAACTAGGAGCATGGTCCCAAAACGTGGCCCCGTTATCTTTTACCCTTTTTTTTTAATAAGACACAGCGTCAATTGAGGCACGTGTTGAGGTTTTTTTTTATTGTACGTGCTTGTGAACTACTAGCAATGCAGCAGCATCACCACCACCATATCATTCGACGATTATATTGTATTGTTCGTAGCTGTTGTGGTTTCAATTTAAGTAATCGATTATTTGTATGCTCGTTGGTTCTTTCGATAAAGTCAGGTAGGTATACAATCAAATACATCACGACGTTTCGGGCGCAACACAAGCGTCCGTCATCAGGTGGGAAAGCATGGTCTGCTGCTGAGGCAGACCATGCTTTCCTACCTGATGAAGAAACGTCGTGATTTATTTTATCTTATACCTACATGACTTTACCGAAAGAACCAAAGAGTATGGATTCCTGCAGCCACGAACGCTTCAAATCAAAATCGAGTATTTGCTCAACGATGATTCCATTGCCGTAGAGTCACCATTGGGCCATCGCCAGGCCACAAGCTGCAGGTAACCCCTGACTCTCGCTTCTCTCTCAAGCTCACCACCACCACCACCTCACCCTCTTCCCTTGCCTCACCGCTCACCCCGAGGCAGATGGAGCTGGTGGTCCGGTTCGGGCCCGACGGGCAGGGCGCACTGCACCTGCGCGCCCTGGACGAGGGAGATCGGGACGCGTGGGTGGCTGCCATCTCGCGGTGCAGGTGGGCGGGAGATGGACACTCACCTCACCCCTCAGACCCTTACCTCACCTCACGGATACTCACCTCACAGAGCCTCACCTCACGGACTCTGACCTCATGGACACTCACCTCATGGACACTCACCTCATGGACACTCACCTCATTGACACTAACCTCAACCCTCGGACCCTTACCTCACCTCATGGACCCTCACCTCACGGACCCTCACCTCATGGACACTCACCTCATAGACACTCACCTCATAGACACTCACCTCATGGACACTAACCTCATGGACACTAACCTCATAGACACTCACCTCATGGACACTCACCTCAACCCTCGGACCCTTACCTCACCTCACGGACCCTCACCAATCCTCACCTCACGGACCCTCACCTCATTGACATTCACCTCACGGACCCTCACCTCACTTCACAGACCCTCACCTCACGGATTCATACCTCACAGACCCTCAACATCACAGAGTCTCCCCTCACAGAGCCTCACCTCACAGACCCTGACCTCATGGCTTCTCACCTCACGGATCCTCCCATGCCCCCCTCCCCTACCCTACCACCCTTGCCCCTCCCCCTGCCCCCCTCCACCTGCCCCCCTCCCCCTTCCCCCCCTCTGCCCCACCGCTCCCCTACCCCTCCGCCCCTGCCAACCCCTCACCCCGTCCCTCCCAACTGGCCCCCTCCCCCCGCTCCCCTGCCCCCCTCTCCTACCTCACCCCCCCCCCCCCAGCTACGAGTCGGTACGTGCGGAGCGAGACCGCGCGCTCCACAAGTACCAGCGGCTGCTGCGCCTCGCTGAGGCCGAGAAGGCGCTGGGGGCGAGCATCCGCGAGCACCTGGACGAGCAGGAGAGCGAGGCCGACAAGCTGAGGGCCGAGGTGAGGGAGGTGAGGGCCGAGGAGGTGTGGGGAGGGGTGGAGGAGGAAGAGGAGGGGGGCGCTGAGCAGTGAGGCGGGCCGAGCGGTGAAGGGGGGGGTGTTGGCGGCACGAGGTATACTATAAGCAAACCAAGCAATCTCAACATCGTGTTGATGGTGTTGATGATGCTCATGATGAAGCTGATCCTGATGCTACTGATTATGCTGCCGATGATAATGTCACTGCTTCTGATAATGCTGCTGATGCTACTGATTATGCTGCCAATGATAATGATGTTGTTCCTGCTGCTGCCGATGATGCTGCTGCTCATGACGCTGCTTCCGATTATGATGTTGCTGCTGCTGCTGTTGCTGATAATGATGTTGCTGCCGCTGTTGCCGATGGTGTGCTGGTGGCCTGGCAGGTGGTGAGTCTCAACAGGAGCAAGGAGCGCATGTACGCGGTCGGTGAGGACAGCGACGATGAGGATGAAGACCCCGACATCCGGAAGATCAAGAAGGTGACCACGGCAGCGAGACGCTCCTACGGGGACCACAACGCCTCTAGAAGCGGTGGTTCTCAGTCTTTCTTTTTTCATACAAATAAAAATAAATTAGACGGACGTTTTGTTCTTGCTCGCTGGTTACTCTTGAAAGCGGCGTTGTTTACCATCGCTGAGTTTAGAAATGTATTTTATATCGTTCCAGGCTACCATACGGATTAAAATGTTATCGTAGTTATTTTACACATTTGCAGATTCACACGTGATTATTCACTAACGACTCCCACATACTTTCGCACGTTTGGAAATCACCTCACGTACCCCTGGGACATTGCCGCGTAGGGAGCACGCCTCGTACTCCCCGGGTTACGAGACAACTTTTCTAGAACATCGGGGCCACGTGGTAGCACGGAAAGTAAAGCACGGACTAGCCCACCAGCCCCGAGTACTATCCCTACCCCTAACCAACTCGCCAACCAGCAGCCACTTTGTACTCTCTGACCATCAAGATTAAGATCTCATCCTGGCCAAAGCCACGATTCCTATCTCCATCGCTCACCTCACTTCTGAAAGTTTGGCAAGTCTCCTTTTTATTTTATTTTTTAAATCAAAATTTCAGATGACTCCCATTCGCCCCGTCCCCCACCACCCCACACCACCCCACCAACTCCGATACTCCGATTATAATACTCCGATTGATGCTCCTGCTGTTGTGGAGTGACTCATGCAGCCAGCTATGGCTGCAGGGTTTTGGTAGTACATGTTGTTTATGTCATTTATTGTGAAAATTCCGTCACAGTTCCTATGATCACTGTTTCATTGCTTTCATGGCTTTATTTTGATGATTTCGAAAAGTGTATTGGTTTAGCCATGTTTGTTTGTTGTAGTACAGAGTTAGACTGATGGCCTTAATCTAAGTTGTCTTGTGGTTGTTGGTGTTGTTTGACTTGCATCCCACTGGGATTTTTGCACACAGCGTTGGTGTACGGTGTTTTTTCTGCAATATTTTGCTGTCTTTTCCTGGATTTTCTGTTTGCACTCAGTCACATATTTACTTTAAGATGCTTTTTTGTTCATGTTTTAGTTTTTTGTTTGTTGCGGTTGCACCCGATTCAAGAGCCGAATGGCTCACAGGGCCATCCTAATAAATTAACTTGAACTTGAACCGCTTTCCCCACCAACCACCCCCCGCACCCTCCTCCACCGCAGGTCCAGAGCTTCCTGCGCGGCTGGCTGTGCCGGCGCAAGTGGAAGGCGATCGTGCAGGACTACATCCGCTCCCCGCAGGCCGAGTCGCGGCGCAAGCGCAACCAGCTGGTGTTCTCCATGCTGGAGGCCGAGGGCGAGTACGTGGCGCAGCTGCGCGTCCTGGTCACGGGCTTCCTGCGCCCGCTGCGCATGGCCGCCAGCTCCAAGCGCCCGCCCATCTGCCACGACGACGTCAGCGCCGTCTTCCTCAACAGGTAACCGACAGCCTGCTGCACTACCGCTCGTGGGGAGCGGTGGTGCAGCGGTTAGCGTGCCACGCCACGAACCCGACGACCCGGGTTCGATTCTCGCTCACGGCGAACACCGGTGGCGATTACCTGAATCGGTCATGGGCATCCCCTCGGACGACGCAGCCTCAAATGAGTACCTGGTGCGGTGTGTAAACATCGCCACCGGGGAGACAAAGGCGGTCGGGCGTGGTGCTGGCCACCCACTCCCTCGTCTGCCGTTCCGGCCTTCATAGGTGCTCGCTAATAGCATTTGCCCCAACAGTTCGTTAAGGCTACATGGGGGATCTTTGTTTGTGCGCGCTTGTGTGTAAATATCGCCACTTGGGGAGACAAAGGCGGCCAGGCGTGGTGCTGGCCACCCACATCCTTTGTGCGCCATGCCAGCCTTCATAGATGCTGGGTAACAGCACTTGCTGTAACAGTCTGTTAAGGCTATACAGGGGATCTTTGTTTTTGTTTTGTGTGCATTGGTGTGTGTGCGGGAGTGTGTATGCTAACAGCACTTGCCACAACAGTCTGTTAAGGCTATACAGGGGATATTGTCTTTGTGTGTGTACGTACGTACGTGAGTGTGCATATGTGTGCATACGTGTGATTCTGTATATGTGTGCGTACGTATGCGTGCGTGCGCGTGTGTATGTACGTGGGTGCTGGGTTGTTGGTATTGCGAGCCGACCCTCGTGTTGGCGTATGTGTTGGCGTTCTTGGTGGTTCTGCTGCTGCTGCTGCCAGTGACTCAATGCCCGCGTCCCCCACCCCGTCTTCACTCCAGCGAGACCATCATGTTCCTGCATCAGATCTTCCACCAGGGCCTGAAGGCTCGCATCGCCAGCTGGCCCACGATTGTCTTAGGTGAGCCCCATCAGCACTTCGCATCCCAGCTCCTCACTCATCTGCATCTCAAACTATCCAACGACCGTTTTCCGGCCACATTTGTTGTTGATGCTTTTGAGAATTGGAAACTGTGTTGATATGTCTTCAGGGAATCATCGTCGTAGGCCACGATCTATCCACTGCTGGATTAAGGCTCCCCCAACCTCCTCTTCCTCTGACCCCTCGGCCTGACAGCGGACCTGTTCGACATGCTGCTGCCCATGCTGAACATCTACCAGGAGTTTGTGCGGAACCACCAGTTCAGCCTGCAGGTGCTCGCCAACTGCAAGCAGAACCGCGAGTTCGACAAGCTGCTCAAGCAGTACGAGAGCCGCGCCGAGTGCGAGGAGCGGACCCTGGAGACTTTCCTCACCTTCCCCATGTACCAGGTGAGGAGCGGTGAGGAGTGGTGAGCGGAGCCTCTGTGCACCCTCTGTGGGGTCAAAATATCGCCACGGTGGCGAGATGTTAACTCCCTCGGCTGGTATGGAGGAGGTTGTGGGTTCGATCCCGAACCTGATGCCTGTATATTTGGAGTTTGCATGTCTCTCTCTCTCATCATCATCACGGTGGCTAGGAGATGTTAACTCCCTCGCCTGGTATACAGGAGGTCGTGGATTCGATCCCGACCCTGACGCCTGCTGTATATTTGGAGTTTGCGTGTCTCTCTCTCTCATCATCATCACGGTGGCTAGGAGATGTTAACTACCTCGCCTGGTATACAGGAGGTCGTGGGTTTGATCCCGGCCCTGACGCCTACTGTATGTTTGGAGTTTGCGTGTCTCTCTCTATCTCCCCACGGTCACGTGGATTTTTGGCTACTGCTATAAGTTTCTACACGATAAGCCACTTCGTCCAGCTATCATTTGTGGCCAGGTCACTCAGTGGGCCTTACCTGGTAAAATAAACAAATGTTTTTAGTTTTAAATAGTTTCAAGTGTTTTTCCTCCCACCTCTTCCGTGATGTCTTGCCGGCGTGGAAGAGTAGGACAAATACCCTCTAGAGGAGCTCTCTCTGGAGGCCCTTCCAACAACAGTGGTGTGGGCGAGCAGTTCCCGCGCTTCGCCTTTATCTTTGCCCTTTAGTTGTAGGCCAAACTGAAAGCAAAAATAAAAACGATGATGTCAAAATTGTGTAAATGCTAGCAGCAAGAAGGCCATCCCAGCAGCTGAAAGGTTATCCCAATGGAAAGCAAGTAAATTAATTAAAATAAAAAGCTAATTGGCTGAGCGTCTCAAATTTCGGGAGTGAGAGCACGGGGCTTTGCTGTTCCTTTTTAAAGTGGGTTCACTCGCGTTCTGAGGCTAACTACCTCGCCTGGTATGCAGGAGATTGTGGGTTCTATTTTGACCCTGACAATACCTGTATATTTTGAGTTTGCGTGTCTCTCTCTCCGTGGTCGCGTGGATTTTTCTCCGGGTCCTCCGGTTTTCCCCTCCACATTTAGAATCAACGTGCGTTTTGAGTATTTGGCTTAAATAAATTTCCACGCGATCAGCTACTTTTGTTGAGCTATTTATTGTGACCAGGTCGCTTCTGAAAAAGAGCTATATAGCTCAGTGGGGCCTTACCTGGAAAAATAAAAATAGTAGTAGGAATATTATATTCATTCTAGATTTGAAGTTTTCGTCACTGCAAGGATCCATACTGTTTGGTTCTTTTGGTAAAGTCACGTAGGTGAAAAAATAAAAAAAAATAAAAAAAATTTAATCACAAAAATATGGAACGCTTCACGCAAATTCGTGAAGCGTTCCATATTTTTGTGATTTAATTTATTTATTTTTCCTTTTTCACCTACGTGACTTTACCGAAAGAACTAGAGAGAAGGGATATTATAGTAGGTCAACTGATGAAATTGTCCCGTAACTTTCCGGCAGTCGTTCCCATTCCAATACGATCCTATTTTTGCACGTGTTGAAACTCGCACGGACACACAACACTTGCACTTCACCAACACGTACGGACATTGGTGCCCGTTGCTCCCTTGCACAGATGGTAATACATCTCGGGGGAATCACACTTTGGGTTTAACGAAAAGGCCATATGATTTACCGAATCAAAGGGCATTACTGAACTAAAGGGAATTAAAATCCCGGCTACCAAGGTGTGGTGATGAGATGCACAAATGCAGCAGATTTATAGAGTGTCACAATTGTCAGCCGCGATCAATCCACTGCTGGATGAAGGTCTCTCCTTGAGCCGCCGTTGCCATCCCTCACCGTCCTGCGATGCGGCAGTCCACCGAGCGCCAGAGGTCACGCTGCTCCGACCTCTGCTCCGGGCGTCCTCTTGGGTGCTGTTGCCTCCTTTGGCCGCTGCTCCATTGTTCTTCTCACCCAATACATGTCCACGCCATTTGCCACTTCATCGAGCTATCGTTTGTGATAGCCAGAGAGCTCAGTCAGCTTTAACTGGTGAAATAAAAATTGTTCATTTTAATTATTCGCCGTTGGTCAAGGATAACGATGGAGTGGCAGCCAAACGTGGGGAATGCCCCCGAGAGCGCGTCCACCGCGGAGATGGAGCGAAGAGGTCAGCTCGTGCGCAGTAAGCGGGAATGGGTTGTGGCATCGCAAGGCCGTGAGAGATGGCGACGATGTCTCGTCAGTGCCAACGGTCAGGCAGTGGATTGTCCGTGGCCGACAGTGACGATTACCAACTCATTTGGATACAATCGCGGAGTAACCCTATTCTAGGACGTGCGATTCGAATGCGCCTATATAAATAAACCTAAAAGAGCAAACGAAACACATTTTAACCACAGAATCGCTAACAGCTCCACCGGAGCCAGATTACCCTCTTACGACTTCACCGCACCTCGCGGCGAACCCGCTCGCGACCTCATCAAACTCCTCGCTCCCGCGCCGCAGGTCGGAGGCGTGGGCCAAGGTCCCGAGACTTCACACCTGGTGGGGGGTGGGGGGTGGGGGGTGGGGGCTCTGGTTCGCCCAGGGACGGGCGAGGAAGCTGTGCAATTACCGGCGGTGGTCGCTGCCGTGATTTGACCCTAATTTGTGGCGAGCCGAGGGACGCTCCCCCACCCGCCCCTGCCGTGGCGGTGGCGGTGTTGTCCCTGGGGTCCCCCCGTATTTTGCGTTTGTGGTCGTTCCGTTGTCGCCATCCAGGCTGTGGTGTTGACCAAGCTGGGAAACGGCTCGTGTCTCCACGGGACCCTCGCCGGCTTTACCGTTACTTTGTGCTCGTTAGTCGGTGCTTTCTGTCAATTCTCGATTGTCTGGGGTAATGGTCGGGCGGAATGGCCCAGATGAAACGACATTTGCAGAAAATGCGAAACGTACCTGGATTCGATTGTCATTGTGCATATGTTGTTTAGCTACGCAGAACAGGGCTGAAGAATTAGACCGTGTAATTATTCTGAAATGCAATATTTCATGTTTTATATTCATATTTTACAAGCACGGTTAATGCAGAAGCCAGATTATCCGCACGCAGGCGATCGCAAGTGCTAAGTGCATAATATTACAATGAGGCTTTTACTTTGCCTCTCGTTGTCCCAAGGGGATTTCCAGGATAAATTAAATACAAATGGGAAAACATAAAACGAAGGCCATGAATACACACAGCGAACTGGAAAACAGAGCAAAAAAAAACCTATCGGTGTAAACTGTGAATTGACAAAATCTCAACCTGTACTAAGTAAAAAAATAACAAGAGAAAAATAAAAAAACCTCTTCAGATAATAGAATAACACTTGAGCTATGATCTAATACCATTTTATCATCGCTGCGGATAGATAATGGCTACAGATAGATCATGGCTGATGATGATGAAGATGATGATGCTAACGACGATTTTAAGGATATTGCAATTCAGCCGCGCGCCACTGGGCATCTCCGGAGATCACTCCGTTGCCCAATCTCCCTGTCCGTTCACGCTTTAGAGAGGTCAAGAAGTTATTATTGTTATTGCTAAACATACGAAGAGGAACGGCGTTCAAACAAGAAGCGCCGCTCGGCACAAGAGGAACCACAACAGGTCATTCCCTCGTTATTCACGAGGGATACGTTCCAGAGATGCTCGCAAAGAGCAAATTTCGCGGTTGATGATATTGGCCTACGAATTACTTTAAATAAATACCGAAATAAACGATTAAATACGTGACAATTATCCGAATAACGCAACAAAATAAAAATTGGTCATGATAAAAATACAATTAATAAAAAATGTATATTAAAGTATTAAATAATATCATAGTTTATGAATGTATTCGTACAGAGTTCCAGATGCCATTCGCGGATAGCCAAAATCGCGGACGGCAAGTTCATGCATAACGAGGGAATACCGTGCACCCTGCACGGGCAGGTGAAGTCACGCTGCAGCGAATCGTCTTCAGAATCGGAAAACTTATTTTTAAATCCTTTATATTAAGTTCGCGTGCTTGCTTGCTTGCTTGCGTGCGTGCTTGCTTGCTTGCTTAGGACCGTGCAAATCTTTCGGTCGTTTTTTAACCCACTTCCCGTGATCCAATCGAGCTGACATTTTCCACACAGACTCGTTGTGTGTGACAATTAATTTTCGTGAAAAAAAAATACAAAATTTTACACTGTTTAGGGAAAACAAATTAAATATTTAATTACCAATTGCTTAATGGTGGCAGACAATCATCTGACCCATAGGTGGCAGCCATCTCAAGCCAGAGGACGAGAGGACTCTAGCCGCCACGCATATAAAGGATTTAGAGTGAAAAACTTTGTTTTTACGGGTTATACTTGTTACTGGACGAATCCGATGAGCTATCAAGCTCTTTTTCGTCCCCGCAGATTCCGCGCTACATCGTGACGCTGCACGAGCTGCTGGCGCACACCCCGCAGGAGCATGTGGAGCGCCGGAGCCTTGAGTTCGCCAAGTCCAAGCTGGAGGAACTGTCCAGGCGAGTAAAACTAAACTACGCTTTTTACCGCCCTCAGTCGGCCATATTTGCGGAATACACCACGCCGCCGTTGGCCCTGGCCATTGACCGAGCAACCCAACGCTTCTACCAGCTCCCTCCGCAGGAATGTGTTTTAATTTTTTTTACCAGGTAAGGCCCACTGAGCTATATAGCTGTTTTTTTCACAAGCGCACCCGGCCACAAATGATAGCTCAACGAAGTGGCTTATCACGTGTGAATTCATAGCAGCCAAATACTCTCAACGCGTGATGTTGATTCTAAATGCGGAGGGGAAAAAAATCGGAGGGCCTGAAGGAAAAATCCACGTGACCACGGGTAGAACATGCAAACTACAAATATACAGGTGTCAGGGTCGGGATTCAACCCACGACTTCGGATATATCAGGCGAGCCAACAGATAACAACTTTTGGCTGACCATCGAACGACGTTTACCGCATCGTGCGCTTTCAGGTGCGCTTTTGCGGCCGTCTGGAATGCTCTTACTTCTGATTTTAGGAATCCACTGGAGCTATGCACTTTTAAACCATCTAGATTGAAAACTCATTTCTTTAGGACTGATTTTTGTGTTTAGTTTGGTGTCCTTCCCCCACACCTCCGATTATCACGGTTGGCTACGTACGGAGCAAAAGAAGTTGATCATGCATACATACGTATCGGCCACTGTGTTTGTTGCATCGCGGGACCGGGAGAGGTTGCGACGGCTTGGAAAGATCATGGCTACTAATAATAATAGTAGTAAAGATAGTCTTTGCATGCATAGTAGCGTGTGCTTACATTCCCCAGCTGCTCAAAGCGTCTTTCATCGCATCTCATCTCAGTGGCAGGGGAGTCTGCGCAGTACAGTGGCGGAATTTCCACATTCCCATGGTGGGGAGTTTGTCTTTCCGTAGGACAACCAGCGTTGACTGGAGGGATGATGGGCCGAGTCAAAACGTCAACCAGAATTTGAACTCGCTAACCTCTCCGATTGCGAGCCCATTCTCTCCCCCGCTGAGCCATCATCCTTGGCCGGGTGACGCTCACGATTGCTCTCTGCGCAATACCAGTCAATCATGATGACGATGGTGATAGTGATGACTCGTGCTCGTCAACATGGACGTTGCGTGCGCAGGATCATCCACGACGAGGTGAGCGAGACGGAAAACATCCGCAAGAACCTCGCCATCGAGCGCATGATCGTGGAGGGCTGTGGCATCCTGCTGGACACGAGCCAGACCTTCGTGAGGCAGGGTGAGTGGTGGGGCAACGCTGGCAACGACGCTCAGCGCGCGTTATTCCCCCGCGCTGCGGCTGCTTTCTTGTGATTTATTTATAGCGGTGTCGTGTGCCAAGCGAACGTGCCAACGTTGGGCCAACGTTGGGCATGTGGTTGGAATTGTGCGCCCATCGTTTTTCCAGCATCGATGACGATTATGATGGCTCTATGTTTATTGCGACGATGATGATGACGACGACGAGGATGGCGACGATGACGACGATGACGAGTGTGATGATAATAATGATTGCGATGACGACGATAGTTATGATGGCGGCGACGATGATAACAATTATGATGGCGATGATGATAGCGACCACGATAATGACAATGATAATGATGGCGATGATGATAGCGACGATGACGATGATGGCAATGATGACTACGATCACGACGACGATGGCGATGATGACGATGACGACGATGATGATGATGACGACGACGACGGCGACGATGATGACGACGATCTCTGCTTGCCCAAGTCGAGCTCGCGGTGCCGACGCCGGCGTTGACCCTTGCTGTGACGTTGACCCACGGGTCGCCCCCCCCCCTCCCCACCCTTCCTGGCGGCATGCCGCAGGCTCCCTGCTGCAGGTGTCCACCGCCGAGAAGGGCCGCATGAGCCGAGGGCGCCTCGGGTCGCTCACGTCGAAGAAGGAGGGCGAGCGGCAGTGCTTCCTCTTCACCAAGCACCTCATCATCTGCACGCGCGCTTCCGGGGGCAAGCTGCACCTTAACAAGGTGGTAGGGGGTTGTGTGTTCACGTGTGTGTGAACCGTGTGTGTGATCCGCTTACGTGTGTGTGATCCGTGTATGTGAGTCTTCTGTGTGTATGGGTACATGCATGTGAGCCCCGTGTGCGTATTGTGTGTGTGTGATCCATGTTCGTGTGATCCATGGGTATGTGTGTGATGAGTGCGAGTGTGTGTGCGTGCATGTGTTTGGGGCGTGATTCATGCGTGTGTGGTTTGGGTGTCTTGAGTGATTCGTGTGTGTGATGTCGTGTGATGCGTGTAATTGTGATGCAGCTGTATCTAGCTGCTTTGTAAATCCAAATTGTATTGTATAACTTAATTATAGTGTGTGTGCGGGGATGGATGTGAGGATTTTACAAACCGCGTCTTGACGGCTTTGTCGGATATCGTGAGGGTTGCGCAGTGGGTATTAATTGGGCAGAGTAAGGGTCCTTGTGTGGGGAGCGGTGGTGTAAGCGGTCAGTGCACGGCACTACGAACCCGGTGAACCGAGTTCAATTCCCGCTCATGACCACAATAACATTCACGGATATTTGAACCGGTCCTGGGCCTAACCGAGGTCGACTCAGCCTTAAATGAGTACCTGGTGCGGTCTGTAATTATCGCCATTAGGGAGACAAAGGCGGCCGGGTGAAAAAGTGGTACTGGCCACCTACCCCTTAGTGCGCCATGCCAGCCTTAATAGGTGCTCACTAACAGCACTTATCTCAACAGGGGGGAGTTGCGGTGAAGTGGTTAGCGCACTGCGCTAAGAAATTCCCCATTCCTGTGCCGGGGGAGAGTGTATCCATAGGACAACAACTGTTGATTTACCTAAAAAGTGGTTACATATTTTATCTACCCCAGAGGGGATGATGGGCAGTCAACCCCTTCCCAGGAGTTGAACTCACAACCACCGTGCCTGCTGTGTGACAGAGTGCTCTATACTCTGATTTAAATATGAGTTACCATTATCATTACATGCAATCAAATTTACACGAAATATTATAATTAATTATTATTGTTCGAGTGATCATGTGTGTGTGTGTCCTCCATCAGAACGGCGGGGTGCTCCCCCTGCTGAATTGCACTCTTCTGGAGGATCTGGAACCTGCGGATGATGAGGGTGAGTGTGGGGTGAGGGGTGAATGGTGAGTGCTGATGTGTTATGGATGGGAGCGAGGAGTGAAGGGTGAGGAGTGAGAGGTGAGGGTGGGGAGTAAGGGTTTAGGAGATATATTTATAATCAGCAGACATGTAGCTGATCAGTTTAACACGTAGTCTTTCATGACCATTATTATTGATAATAACGGTTTTTGGGTTAGATCGTGTAAGTATAAATGTGTTTCAACCCTCCACCACCCGACACGGCCAATCAGTAAGAAATGTGTCACGTTAACAAAACGCCAATTAGTTATTTCTTCAGCCCACTGGTGTGATTGAAGAGTGAATCCACAACATTGACAATTTGAGTACGACGTTTCGCTGGATATTACATCCAGCATCTTCGGGCGATTTGCCAGAATAGCTGCTGTTCCCCTGGTAGTCAAACCACTACCAACTCCTCGTGTGCCGTACCGGCCTTAATAGGTGCTCGTGGGGAGCGGTATTGTAGCGGTTAGCGTGCTGCACTACGAACCCGGCGGTCCCGAGTTCGATTCCTGCTCGCGCCCAACACTTGTGACCATTATCCGAACCGGTACTGGGACTCCCCTAGATCAACTCGGCCTCAAAACATTACCTGATGCAATGTGTAAACATCGCCACTGTGGGGAGACAAAGGCAGCCGTGTGTGGTGCTGGCCACCCACGTCCTCCTCGTGTACCGTGCTGGCCTTCATAGGTGCTACTCGCTAACAGCAGTTGCCCCAATAGTCTGTTATGGCTACGCGGGGGATCTTAGGCTTTGTGAGTGTGTATGCGCCTACGTCCTCAGCGCGCAGTGCGGTGCAGGACCTGGAGTTCCGCTTGGCGATCGAGGCCGGAGACACCCCGCCCTGCATTGTGCTCGTCGCTGCGTCCAGGCAGCAGAAGGCAGCGTGGACCAGTGACATCAGCCAGGTGAGTGTGTGTCTATGTGTGTGTGTCTGTGTGTCTGTGTGTCTAGCGAGATCAGCCAGGTGTGTGTGTGTCTATGTGTGTGTGTCTGTGTGTCTAGCGGCATCAGCCAGGTGTGTGTGTGTCTAGGTGTGTGTCTGTGTGTCTAGCGGCATCAGCCAGGTGTGTGTGTGTCTAGGTGTGTGTCTGTGTGTCTAGCGAGATCAGCCAGGTGAGTGTGTGTCTATGTGTGTGTGTCTGTGTGTCTAGCGACATCAGCCAGGTGAGTGTGTGTCTATGTGTGTGTGTCTGTGTGTCTAGCGAGATCAGCCAGGTGAGTGTGTGTCTAGGTGTGTGTGTTTGTGTGTCTAGCGGCATCAGCCAGGTGTGTGTGTGTCTAGGTGTGTGTCTGTGTGTCTAGTAACATCAGCCAGGTGTGTGTGTGTCTATGTGTGTGTCTGTGTGTCTAGCGAGATCAGCCAGGTGTGTGTGTGTCTATGTGTGTGTGTCTGTGTGTCTAGTAACATCAGCCAGGTGTGTGTGTGTGTCTATGTGTGTGTGTCTGTGTGTCTAGCGAGATCAGCCAGGTGTGTGTGTGTCTATGTGTGTGTGTCTGTGTGTCTAGCGAGATCAGCCAGGTGTGTGTGTGTCTATGTGTGTGTGTCTGTGTGTCTAGCGGCATCAGCCAGGTGTGTGTGTGTCTAGGTGTGTGTTTGTGTGTCTAGCGGCATCAGCCAGGTGTGTGTGTGTGTCTAGGTGTGTGTGTGTCAAGATGTGTGTGTGTCTAGATGTGTATGTGTGTTTGTGTGTGGCGACATCAACCAGGTGCGTATGTGTGTCTAGGTGTGTGCGTGTGTAACTAGGAAGACAAAGGCGGCCGGGCGTGGTGTTGGCCACCTCGTGTGCTGTGCCGGCCTTCATAGGTGCTCGTTAACAGCACTTGCCCCCACAGTCTGTTAAGGCTATACGGTGGCGTTTGTTCCTTGGCAAACATGCGGCGGTCCGTCAATAAGTCCCTAGTTCACCGCCTCATGTCTTCTCTTTCTCTCTTTCTCTCCACCCTCCCCCCACATCGCATCTTATATCCTCTCGCTCAAACCAGTGCATCGATAACCTGCGCTGCAATGGCCTCATGATGAACGTGTTTGAGGATAACTCCAAGATCTCCGTGCCGCAGATGGTCAGGTGAGGTGGGGGTGGGGGGATGGGTCGGGTGACGGCGGCGCCCACTGGCGGTGGTTAAATAAAGGGCAAGCTGAGGAGCGGGGAATAAAAAAGGGAGGTCAACTTACACGCGACCGCACGTAACGAATCGTAAATAGCGAAGCCCCGTGCGATTTCGCACGTGTAATCGTGAGAATGGGTTTTAAACTCTACACTATTTTTTTTTATTTTACCAGGTAAGGCCCTACTGAGATATATACTTCTTTTTTAGAAGAGCCCTGGTGACAAATGATAGGTCAACGAAGTGGCTTAAAGTGTGGAAATGTATAGCAGCCAAATACTGTAAACGCGTGTTTCTAAATGTGGAGGGAAAAACTGGAGGACCCGGAGAAAAATCCATGCGACCATTGGGAGAGACACACGCACAATCCACATATACAGGCATCGGGGTCGGGATCGAACCCACGACCTCTTGTATACAAGGCGAGGTCGTGAACATCTCGATGGATCGATGCGTTGTCGTCGCATCGCGTTTCCACCCCCCCCCCCCCCCGTGGGTGCCGGCGACGTCCAATCTCTTTCTGCCGATGGGTGGGCGATGGGTGACTCGGATAATACAACGATAATACGATGTGTTCCTATTAATAATACGATGTATTCGTTCATTCCAGGAGGCCGCTTTTGGATTCTCTTGTTCACGGCTAAAAGGATGAATTTGCCGCCACTTTAATGCCCACTCCGATTCTATCCACGAGAGATGTGGATAATAGGAAGGACCGTTCATCCATGGGGTAATAGGACCTTCGGAGTCACGGGTAATGGGGCTGCAGAATAAGAGCAGTCTCTGGTAATCGCTTTTCGGATAAGTGGGGTTTTTCGGGATAACAGGGTTGCGGATAATAGGAGCCACTGGTAATGGGGAGTAATGGGGCTACCGAAAAAACGGACGAGTCTACAATGAGACTTTGGTTTTGAGGGATTTTCCGGATAACAAGACTGCGAACAAGAGAGGTTTTGCGGACAGTGAGTCTGCGTATACGAGGGTGTTTGACCGTCCACGCAGGTCGGACCGCAGCCTGTACTGCGACGGCGCCGACATCCGCTTCAGCCGCACGCTCGACTCGTGCAAGGTGCCCGTGATCCGCGCGGCGAGCGTGAGCCGCTTGCTCGAGCGCCTCACCGACCCTCGCTTCCTCAGCATCGACTTCCTCAACACCTTCCTCTACTCGTACCGCGTGTTCACCACGGCCACCGCGCTGCTCGCCCGCCTTGCCGCGGGCTACCGTCGCCCACTCAGCGCCGTGCCCGCCAGGTGACGGCACGCGCAAAGGCAACGATCCCCCCACTGCCCCCCCCCCTCTCCCTCGCATCATCTCGAACGGACCCGTTTGGTGCGGGGGGGGGGGCGATGTGACCGGCATTGGCCAAAACATTGCCATGCTGAAAATTAACCTGCAGATCGCTTAATTGGGATCACACAACTGGCAGGACCCTCGCGAACAAGAGTCTTGAGAGTCTTGAGAGACTCTCCTCAGTAAGCAAACGCAATAAATTAACAACAACAACAACAAATCAGCGTTGTCTTGGTGTGTGCGCACGTGGCAGCTCGCTGGAGCTGTTCTTCTCGAGCAGCCTGCCGGGACGCCCGCACTACGGCGAGCCCCCAAAATCTCCCCGCGCTTGCCGCAAGTTCTCCACTCCCCTCTCCCCGACGTCCCCTCCGGGCGCCGTCATCGCCACCATCGCCACGTCTCCCCCGCCCGGGACGAGTGGCGGCAACGGCGGCGGCGGCGCCGTCATCGTCGGCGTGAGCGTCAGTGTCAGCGTCAGCGTCAGCGAGGCCCCCGCGGCCAGCGACACCGACGTGGCCACCTCCCCCCTTGCTGCCGCCCCCGCCGCAGCCGGCGCTGCCGTCTCCGAGCCGGCGTCGCCGCTCACGTCCCCCACGTGCCTCCCGGCCCCCGGCGCCATCGCGGGGGTTCCCTCGCCGTTCCGCGGGCGCCGGAAGATGTCGCTGAACGCGCCTCTCATCCATGAGCCGCCGGTGCACGCCGCCCTCCCCCGCGGTGCCGATGATGCCGCTGCTTCCTCGGCCGGATCTCCCGACGGACGAGGAGGCTCCGGTACCATCTTCTTCTTCCTTCCTCTTCTTATTTCTTCTGCTTCTTTCTTTCTCTTCTTCTTCCTTCTTCATTCCTCTTCTTCCTTCCTCTTTTTCCTTCATTCCTCTTTTTCCTTCTTTATTGCTATTCCTTCTTCCTCTTCTCCTTTCCTCAACAAAGTGGCTAATCATGTGGAAATTTATCGCAGCCAAATACTCTTAAACGTTTGTTTAACTCGCGATCAGGCAGCTTCCCCTGAATCCCCCATTCACAGAGAAAGTGTTCGCATCTCCCGTGTGTAGTTCCCACCCAGGGGCGAAGGGCAGTTTGGTGTCTGTCGGAGCTTCAACCCGTGCCTTGTTCGGGACATCGCAGGCCTACCTCCACGTAACTGGCCACCGGCTATCGATGTGCCACTCTCAGTTGACACAATTGTTGAGTCATGGTCACAGAAAGGTGTATTTGAACTTTATCCGGTGGCTGGGAGGTTTGCGGCGATCCGATGTCTCGATGTGACATGTGCCGTCGCTGTGATAGCTCCGTCACGAGCATTGCCCCATCCGCGTCGCCCTCGCAGGAGGAGGTGGTGATGCTCGGAGGTCGCCCCTGGATGCTGATCAGCACGAGACGGGACCTCTGCGGTCCCCCATCACCCCGCGCCACCGCTCCTTCCGCCACTCGGGTCCGTCTCCCCATGCCGGCCCGCGGACAGGGCCTAACCTGGTTTAGCCTGTGCAGGGCCTAACCTGGTTTAACTTGGGCAGGGCCTAACCTGGTTTAACCTGCACAGTGCCTGACCTGGTTTCACCTGGGCAGGGCCTAACCTGGTTTAACCTGGGCAGGGCCTAACCTGGTTTAGCCTGCGCAGGGCCTAACCTGGTTTAACCTGAGCAGAGCCTAACCTGGTTTAGCCTGCGCAGGGCCTAACCTGGTTTAGCCTGGGCAGGGCCTGACTTGATTTTACCTGGACAGGGCCTAACCTGGTTTAATCTGGACAGGGCCTGACCTGGTTTAACCTGGACAGGACCTAAGCTGGATTAACCAGGACAGGGCCTAAGCTGGTTTAACCTGCACAGTGCCTGACCTGGTTTCACCTGGGCAGGGCCTAACCTGGTTTAACCTGGGCAGGGCCTAACCTGGTTTAGCCTGGGCAGGGCCTGACTTGATTTCACCTGGACAGGGCCTAACCTGGTTTAACCTGCACAGGGCCTAACCTGGTTTAATCTGGACAGGGCCTGACCTGGTTTAACCTGAACAGGACCTAAGCTGGATTAACCAGGACAGGGCCTAAGCTGGTTTATCCAGGACAGCACCGAACCTGGGTCACCCTGGTTGCAAACTCTCTGATCCCTTTTAATCCCCCCCTCCCGTTCGCTGCCCCCCAATTACCCCTCACATTTCAATGTTGACTGTGTGTGCATATATACATTTGGCACGAATGTGTATATGGGTGAGTGTGGACGTGGTTATTGGGTGCCCGTTGTAAGCATGCTTCCTGTTGCCCTTTGCAGAGTTCCCCCTCTTCCACGTGGGGTCGACGGCCGAGGTCGGGGGCGAGACGCAGGAGAAGATCCGACGGCTCTCCCTGGCTGGTACGCGAGTTACGCGCACGCACACACACACACACACATGCGCACGCACACGTATGGCAACAACACCAGCCCGCCATTTACCACTAAGCGGCGGTGATGTCTTGGCACAGCAATTATGTGCACTTTGTGCCAGGCTAAGTGCGCATGAACGCGTTGAATGCTCGTTGGAAGGAGGTCACGGGACAGGCCCTGGTGTTACGCTTTGACTGACTGAGATGACTGACGGCCGGCAGCACGACCTTTGCTGCCCGCTACGGCACTTGCATACATACATGTACAACACGTAAACATACATACACACACGTACACACATCCACATGTGTACAGCTTATGAAGAAGGACCATGGCTTGAAACATTGTCCATTATAAATATATCCTTTTAAACCCATGGAATGGACAGACGTGTTGAGTTTGGAGCCTGTGCACCCCTACCAACGCAGCGGCATCGCCAAACTACTGTGTAGTCAATCGGTGCGGTTGCCTTCGTTAGATCGGTTACATCCATCCCGCCCACCTTGCCCCCCATCCCACACTCCCCCCACCCCCAACCCACCACCCCCCCGACACCCAGGTTTCTCCATCGCCGAGCACCGCATGCTCGACAAAGAGTTCATCATCCGGCGTGCGGTCACCAACCGCGTCCTCAACGTCCTGCGCCACTGGGTGTCCAAGCACTCGCAGGTTTCGTCCCAGGGAACATGGAACGTTGGGCCAATGTTGGAGCAACGTTGGGCCAATGTTGGGCCGACCCACGTGCAAGCGTTGGCCCAACGATGGCATGTTTACCGGGGTGTGTCTGCACATTCCTCCATTCGGCCGGCAAGTGAGCTGGGCCATGCTATGCCGTCAGACAGTGCGAGGATAAAATGAGCCTAAGAGCCCACCGAGGAGGCTCTCTTGCAAGGGTGTGACTTGGGTCAACAAGTGACAATAAAATCAGCTGATCGATCAATAAATCGATGCAGCAGCCACACGGGTTCACTCGTGCAAACGACCGGACTGATCATCGGTCAAATTAGACCGACGGTCGGTCGTTAATTCAAGCAAGTAACGTTTATTTTAAGCGTTAACCCGGAGAAAGGCCTTGGTGGAGATTGTGCCCCTTGTTCTGCATGTGATTGGAAAGTTAGAGCAAATCCAGATCACAAATATGGGAGACAAACTAAAACTAAAATAATCCTAGGATTATAAATCACTAATTATAAATTACGGGTGACAAGCGGTGGCACCATGAACCCGTGGCCTGAGTTTGATTCCCGACGACAACTCACATAAGTGGCGGCATATCCGAACCTGGCCTGGGCCACCCTTAAATGTGTACGTGGTGCGGCTTCTCATGAACGTCAGCGCTGGGTGTAGGGCAAAGGTGGCCAGACATATTGCTGGTCACACCACCCTTTTTTGTGTGTCGTGCTGACTTCATTAGGTGCTCACAAACGGTACTGGCCTCTATAATTCCTCTCTGCCACTTGTAGAGCCCAAATGCGCCACGGCTGTGTGCCGGACCTGCACGGCACGGCTCAGGAGGTGCCGGGTTGTTTTTTCCACTGCAGAAGCCGAGCCGTGCCACCAACGTAGTATGCAACCAACACTTCGTTAACCCGACCCCTAGCCCTGCTTGGCCGCACAGCTAGATTCAGATGGTATTGTTAGGCCAGCCTATCACGGCTTGGTTCCAGCTCGGCTCGGCAAATAGCCGGTTGTAAAAAACGGACGCGTACCATGAGAGCGTCCTGCCCTGGCTCGGCTCGACTTGTGGCAGTGGAAAAGACGTCTGTAAGTCGTTGTCTTTGTCTGTGGCTCAGGACTTTGAGTCGGACTCGGATCTTAAGTCGGCCGTGGTTCGGCTCCTGGAGGAGATCTCTCGCGACACAGAGCTCATCGGCCAGGAGCGCAAGGCAGCTGCCAACATCCTGAGGTGAAGAAGATGATGATGATGATGGTGTCAACGATGAAGATGATTAGATGAGGATGATGATGATGTATATGGTTATGAAGAATGAGTATGATGATAATCATGTTGATGATGACCAACATTGATGATGATAATATTAATGGTGATGATATTGGTGATGGTGATAATGATGATGGTAATTATTACATTAAGCTATCTTGTTATTAAGTCATACATACGATAACAACAACAATAGTAAAAATGTGGCGGTCACGTTGCTTTTAACCTTTTTAAGCAATGTTTGCAATTACGATTATGACAAAGCAAACAAATAAAAACAATCATAAGAAGCGTGCATCCCACAACGGCGCAGTCTTTTGCGATACAGGCGCGTCTCGCTTAACGAGCGAGATACATTCCGTGGAAATTGCTCGGTAAGCGAAAACTCCCACCCCACCCTACCCACCCGCCCGCCCATTACAGTGCCATCACAAGGCTACCCCCCACCTCCCTCACATGGCAAACCACGCGCACACGCAGCGCAGCGGTGCGTCACCCTGTCACCACAGACCGCATTCAATCGATTGATCGGTCTTCGCTCGTTATGCGAACATTTTGCTCGTTTTGCGAACAAATTGGTTTAGATTCGAATTTGCTCGTTTTCGCGAAATTCTAGCAGAAAGAACGCTCGTTAAGTGAGACACACCTATATATATATTTTTAAAGATTGTTAGAATTGTATGTACTGCAGGTTTATGGAGTGCGGGAGCCAGAGACCCTGCGTGAGTATCTGTGGAGCGGTGGTGACATTAGCTCGTGTGCAGGAGCCAGATGGATTGGGGACAGCGTGGGGAGGCCTCAGCCAGCAGTGGATAGACCATGACCGATGATGATGATGCCTTCTGACATGTTAACTAGTTTACATGATGGCGGTTGTGATGATGGTGGTTATGATTGGTTATATAACGAGGATGATGATGCTAATGGGTTACGTGATGGTGACGACCATGCCAGAACCTTGACGCAAGAGGAGTCGGAGGACATCCCGATGACAGTGGAGCAACTCGCGCTCACGGTGAGCAATTCATCAAATCCTCTCTGATTCGCCGCTCCCTCCCTGACCTGCGAAATAAGTTATTGGGGTGATGTGGGTGCGCCTGTCTGCGTTGGTGATTTGTGTGCGTGCTTGCGTCTCTCTGTATGAACGTGAGTGTGTGCATTCTTGCATGCACACTTTGCGTGTGTTTCAGGAACATGTGTTTTGCGTAATTGCGTATTTCTGTTTACGTCTGTGTGTACTGCACTATGAACCCGGCGACCCGAGTTTGATTCCCGCTCACCGTCAGTGACGGTTATCGGAACCGGTCGTGGGCCTCCCCTAGGTCGACTCAGCCTCAAATTATTACCCGGTGCGGTGTGTAAACATTGCCACTCGGGACACAAAGGCGAATGGGACGTGGTGTTGGCTGCCCCCCCCCCCCCCATGTGCCATGCTGGCCTGCATAGGTGCTGCTCGTACACGGCACTTGCCCCAAAGGCCTGTCGAAGGCTATATGCGTTAGGATCTTTGTCTTTGCTGCGTGCGCGTGGCGGCAGTGCGAGGGCCAGCGCGGCGAGGCGTTCGAGTCGTTCACTGCGGTGGAGCTGGCGGAGCAGCTCACCCTGCTCGACCACCTCGTGTTCCGCAGCATCCCCTACGAGTGAGACGCACGCACACGCGCGCGGACACACGCACGCGCACGTACGAACACGCGCACACGCATGTTTACACGCACGTATGCATGCATACACACACACGCACGCCTATGTTTCTGCGTGTACACGTGTGCCATCGCTGTGCCGGGCTGCGCTCCCTGCAGGGAGTTCTTTGGCCAGGGCTGGATGAAGCTGGACAAACACGAGCGAGCGCCGCACATCATGAGGACAAGCAAGCACTTCAACGAGGTTCGTGTCGCGACGAGCGGGGGGGCGAGCGAGCGGGGAGGGGGTGAGCGAGCGGGTGAGCGAGCGGGCGGGCGGCGTCTCTCCCGTCGACCGCTGCCTGCCACTCGTGCCCGCGCTCTTTCCTCCAAACCGCCGTCGCTCACAGCCGCCCTCGCCTGCGAGGTTTCCTACGGAGGCGAAGTAACCACGAGTGTCGCTGCGTGGAATATATACGCGACAGACATTGAAGTAACCACGAGCGTCGCTGCAGCTTTTGGATAACCGTCGAACGAAGATGGTCGCAGCATCTCCTGTGCTTTCTGATGCGCTTCTGCGGCCGTCTGGAAAGTTTCTCCTTTTGAAATTAGGAAGCCACTGGAGCTGTGCACTTTTAAATCATCTGGATTGAAAACTAATTTGTTGAGAACAGTTTTTTGTGTTGAGTTTGTTTTTCTTCCCACGCACCTCCGATTAGCACGGTTGGCTACGTACGGTGCGATTTTTTTTAACACACACACACACATACGTTGATCGCGTAGGTGGCGAGCAACGCACAGCACTGCTCACTCCTCTGCAGCAGCAACAGCAGCAGCAGAAGCTTGCAGCAGATCCACCACTAGATGGCAGTCCCTTTACCAAACGTAACTTTACTTTTTTTATCATCCAAGGTCCACTGAGCTTATAGGTCTTTGTCAAAAGCGACGTGGCCACAAATGATAGCTTATCATTCGTGGCTTATCATGTGGAAATTATTCTCAGCCAAATACTCTAAACGCTTATTAAAACATCTGGAGAGAAAACCCAGAGCACCCAGAGAAAAATCCACACGACCACAGGGAGAGAGAAAACTCCAAATATAAAGGCATCGTCAGGGTCGGAATCGATGCCCACGACCTCCTGTATACCAGACGAGGTAGTAAACATCTCGCCATCATGGCACCAACCCAGGGAGCGGGTAAACCGGCGCTTATGACCGCGTAACAGCGCCAGCGAAGGTGCGGCATGGATCAAGAAGAGTCGTTAATTTCGTTTCTCGAAGTGAGCGAGCGTGTCAAGAGGGCCACGGCGTTCTTGACGGATGCGCCAAGCGTGGCAGTGCATGAGCCGATGCCCACCCACCCCACCCCCCTTGCCCTCACCCCGTCCGCCCGATCCTCCCGCCGCTCAGATGAGCAACCTGGTGGCGTCGGAGGTCGTGCGCCGGGCGGAGGTGGCGTCGCGCGCCGCCGCCATCGAGAAGTGGGTCGCCGTCGCAGACGTCTGCCGCTGCCTCAACAACTACAACGGCGTGCTGGAGATCCACTCGGCGCTGAACCGCACCGCCGTGTTCCGCCTCAAGAAGACCTGGCTCAAAGTCTCCAAACAGGTCCTCCTCCGTAATAGAGGGGGTTTTTTGCGTGGGGTTAGATCGTGTAAACATGTATAAATGTAGTAATAGGTTTTTACCCTTTGATCTGGCACCAAAACTGACACCTTTATACGAGGGATTATGTTTTCAATAACCACAACACAAGCAGTTAAAATGCAAACAAAAAGAGACAACTCTGATAATGATATGCACTGTCCTTGAAATTGATTGGTCCACACCCGAGACGGCTTTTCTTAGAGCCTAGTCTCACATGGTGTTGGACCAGATGACGCCAAAAGGCGCACAACTCAAAGGCAGCGCACTATCAGAGTATTGAGAGCTCGGGATAAGCATTTATATATCTTGCTACTGGCAAAGGAGGTCTCATAATAATGTATAAATGTGTCATTAAAAACCGCCGCCACCCAACACAGCCAACTAGTAAGAGGCTGTCACGTGAACAGAACGTGCCAATTCGTCACTAGCACAGCAGAGAGCCAAGCCACCACATTTACCATCTGAGTACGACGTTTTACCAGTAATTACAACTAGTTTCATCAGGCGACAGCCAGATTTGTGCAGAAGTCCACCTGTTTCGTTCCTCCTCCCACCTCCTTCCTCCTCCTCTGATGAATCTCATCCTCCCCCCCCCCCTCTCCCAATCCTCCACCCTCTCTCTCGCGTGTGAGAAGTCATGTTTATTTTGTATCTGTGCGTTCACGTGACCCCTGCGGCTCCTCTGTTCACCTCTTTGGAATCAAAACGCGACCGTGAATTGTGACAATCCATTGGTGGCGGCCGTGGTGGTGACTGTCGCACCCTCTGTTTAATCGCCGTTCACTGATCTTATCAGGGCCCGCACGTCCTTTCTCTCTCTGCACAGACTAAAACCCTGTTCGAGAAGATGCAGAAGGCGCTGTCGTCTGAAGGGCGATTCAAAAACCTGCGGGAGATGCTGAAGAGGTACCGTGGGGCCGTCACTTCTGGGTGGAACGACGCGTCGATTCGCCGATTCGATGTCGATATTTCTGTCTCGCGCGGCAGCGTAGCGCGGTTGGTGTGGGCCCAGGTGCAAGGGATGAAACGGGCCCCCATCCCTAGCTGTCGCCCCCAAGTCCTCGTAGCCCGGGACCTGGGCCCCTCCGGCTCGCAGGCCCCGGTGCAGTTGCACTGCCTGCGCACTCGACAGCCACACCACCGAGCTCGCAATACAACGCACCGAATCGCTTCTGTCGACGTATTCTCGGTGCACGCGCTGGCGCTACGTGACCCCCTTTGGACACTAGGGGCGCTACCATTCACCGCGTGAACCGTGTGACCTTGTGACCTTGTGACCTTGTGACCTTGTGTCTTGTGTCGCCGAACTGAGCGGCGTCCCGGAAAACGGTGAACTGTGCCCGCCTCCGGGGGGGGGGGGGGGGGGGGCGCACAGCTTGTCGGCCATTGCTGCTTCACCGTTTGCGCGTGTCGGTGTGCCCGCGGTGCAGCTGCGACCCACCGTGCGTGCCCTACCTGGGGATGTACCTCACCGACCTCGCCTTCATCGAGGAGGCGACGCCAAACCTCACCGACGACTGCCTCGTCAATTTCTCCAAGATGCGCATGGTACTCGCCAATCGGCAACGGCCGCCACCGCCCATCGCCCCTCTTCCCCCCTGCACCCACCTCCTCCACCCCCCCACTCCTCCACCTTCCCACAAGCAACGCAATCATTGCGCGCTGGACATAAGCAGGGGCCATTCCAGCGATGTCACAGGCTCTGTCTGATTGTTCTCTCATAGTCACGTGATTTAAATGGCCTAGACGTGTTGCCTGTCGTTTTTGGTGGTGATGAATAAGACTAGATTTGAAGCTTTCGTGACGGAGACTTGTGTTGCCTCCGAAACGTCGTGATTTTATTTTTTATTTTTATTAATTTTAATTTCATTTTTTACCTACGTGACTTTACCGAAAGAACTAAGAGTAAGGTGAATAAGACGTTGGCTCGTTTTCACCGACATTCTCGCCGAAAGGGAAGCATTCACTTAAAAGACGCCGTTGGGCCATAATTAATCAGGGTACCATCCTGGCCCATCATTTTCCTGCCGTCGTTGTGAAGCACACAGCGCCTGCCTTGAGCATGTGGAAAATGTAGAACCGGAATATTTACTTATACTGGAGGAATCCGATGAGCTGTAAAGCTCTCTTTTACTAATGTCACGTCAGGGCGGGTCACCGCCAACAGAGAGACACGTGCTGCCACGTCGCTCCGTTGACCATTTTCGAGAGCCCACCACTCGAAGCCCGGGCTTGAACCCGGGGTTTCGAGCGTCGCGCTGGGCGGCTCAGCGGCTCTTGACGCCTTAAGCCGCCCGGAGAAGAAGAGACGGTCGTGCTTGAATCAACGTTGTGCTGGGCGTCGTGCATTTCTGCAGATCACCCACATTCTGCGCGAGGTGCGACAGTTCCAGCAGACGCCGTACAAGCTTGAGCCGGACCCCAGGGTATGCCGCCTGCGTCTGTCTGCCCCCACACCAATGCCCTGGCACCTGCCCGTACGTGTGCGTGCATAACTGAGCGCGCCTGCCCGTGCGTGCGCTCGTGTGCCGCAGACGCTGCAGTACCTGCTGGAGCGCTCGATGCTTCTGGACGACGACAGCCTCTACGAGCTCTCGCTGCAGCTCGAGCCGCGCCTGCCCACGTGATGGGGGAACCGGGGGGGGGGGGCAGGGGTGGGAGGGGCGGCCGGGAGGGGCCGCTCGCTACGACGGGGGGGGGAGGGGGGGGGCCGACAACAACGCTTGTGCCGTGCGACGGCGCGCGACGGCGCGGGGCGGGATGGCGGGTGAGCGAGCTGGCCGGTGATCGAGTCGGGTGGATCACGACCCGGCCACTACGCCAAACGCGCCGCCGCCGCCGCCCCCTTCCACAGGACGACTTTGAGCTGGGCGCTCGCTCCTCCTGCTCATCCTAATTCCATCTCCTCCTCCTCCTCTTCCTTATCGTCGCCTGCACGTGAAAATCCAACGTTACCAAAACTGTGCGCATGCATAGGTACTCGTGCGCCGACAATAAACTGCGGCGTCCCGCATGCGGCGCGTGCGCACGTGCACGTGCGCTGCCGAGGCCCTGCGCACCACCTGATCGCGCTGGCTGCCACCCCCTGGCAATCGTAGAGGGGACGGATGAACCGATTGGCCTCGTGAGGCGCCGAGAGTGAATGTCTTGCCATGGACGGTCGGAGGAAGTGGCTCCATTGCAGATCGATCGATGGCTCCACGTTTTAATGCTTTCGTTTGTTCGTCCATTCGACCTCGCGTCCCACGCGCACCGACCTTCCCGTCGGATTGCCATGGAGGTCAAAGGTCAATTTTATTTAAGGGACGTCTTTTTGCGGCCGGCGGGGAGGCCTTCGAATGCACAGGCGTGGGGTCCCCACCCCCCCACCCCCCTTTTTTGCGGGCATTGAATGTTTTCGCTATTTCGTGACGTGTACACATTTCAGGAGCGTCGGCTCAGACGGCCAGACGAGAGTCGCCCCTGGTGGATGGGGTGGGGGGGGGGCACCGCTCAACGTCACCCGAGGCCGGTTCGTTTGTCACTGACGGTGGCGTCCGACGCCAATTGGTGAATTTCGGCGAGGTTGGATTGTTTTTTTGTTCCTGAACGGCGTGGTTGTCGATTGCGTTTTGAGCGAAGCGCGGTGCAGCCCTGGCAAGGAGGAGGCCGCCTCCCGGAGCGAGCGATAGGTCTTGGCTCAAGCAAAACCACGAAGAAAAACGAAAGAATCAGACTCAAGAGGAAGCACTGCGAATCCAGCAATACGTGTTTAGAAGCTATAATTACGAACCCACGGACTCAGGGGTGGTGGTGGTGTGTGTGTGTGTTAACCGGCCAACGGAGCAAGCGTCCGATCAATTTAACCGTCTTGCGGGAAACTTCCCCCGGCGTCTGACGACCCAGTCGTGGGAACGCCTCTCTCTCTCTCGGTGCACGAACGGAGCGAGTGCGAGCGACAAAAATGTCTCCCAAACGCGCGTCGATGTACCCGTGAACAGATTGGGAGATCCTAACCGAGAGATGGCACTTTACCGGTGGTGGTGGTGATGCTGGTGGTGCTGGTAGTGCTGTGTGTATGTTGAACTTTTTTTGCACTGTACGTAGCCAACCGTGCTAATCCGAGGTGCAGGGGAAGGACAACAAACTAAACGCAAAAATCAGTTTTAAAGATGATTTAAAAGTGCGTAACTCCAGTGGCTTCCTAATATTGGAAGGAAGAGCGTTCCAGACGGCCGCAGAAGCAGCGCATCCGAAAGCGCGCGACGCATTTGCCCCGTCTCTGTTTGATGGCCTGCAGGCAAAAGCCGCTGCTTGCTGCGAGGATGGCCGCAGTTCGCGTGATGGTGGGTTACGCTCCCCCCTGTGTTTGCAGCAGAACAGTTGAGTTGTACGTGTGCGAGATGGGGGATGGCAACACTTAATGTCTGCTTGTACGCGGCTGTTTAATAATCCTTAAAGACGAATGCGCACTTTTAAAGCGGGCCCCAACCACCCATCCAGCCCCTGCTCCTCTACTCCCCTCTCCCCTCCTTCTGTTTTTGACCTGGATCTTTGGGATCCGTTTTGCAGTCCGATTTTACGATTACCATAATGATCGTGAACGGACCCCCCTCCCCCCCGATCAACAAAAGTTTGCCCAGTGCAACGCTCGGGTAGCGGATTCTGAAATCCGCTGCTCTAGCGTGCGTCGCGTTGCAGGAAAACACAAAGTTTGGAGGAAAAATAAATAATAGTTTAGATGCACGTGGCATTATTTGCGAGACAGACGCCAGGGAGAAAGGAATCCTTTTGTCAAACGTTGGGATGTGACCCCGGGGAGAATGATCTGAAATCACAAGCTTGAGTAGGATGCTATTTTACGGGCGGTATAACAGTTTACTCCCCGCACACACACACACACCAGCGATGGGATGAATTTTACGCAATTCAGGATTAGATTATTTTTTTTACGTGCCGGCTAATGTAGCGGTCTCTAGTGGCTGTATGGGACCGACCCCCCCAGCCCGAGCCCCGTTTACGCACACCGACACTCGGAACAGAAACACGTGGATTGTGTTATGGGCGCGCGGCGCACGTGACTTCGACGCACGCGTTGCGAGCTAAGGGAGCCGAGGTTCACAAGGCGATGTCGATTCATCGTCCGCGCCCGCTCTGCTATTCTAACTCTTTGCAGCATTCAATGCAGTGATGGGGGACAGGGGACTTCCAGCCCGCGGGCCGGACGTGACCCGCTACTTCGTTTTACTCGTCCTTGGCCACGGCAAATCATCGTACTCGAGGTGCAGAACATTTTTCTGCCTGGCAATACCGACCGCCGCGTTTGTACATTTTGCGCGCTCGGTCAACCTCCGCCACGGCGAGGTTGCGTCTTTGTGCCCGTTCTCGATGCGCGCGTTTGTTATTTCCCGCGGGGTCATCGGATAGCGCCCAGGGGGGCATAACGTCTGAATGCGTGGTGGTGGTTTTGGCCAACGGGAGGTGTTTTGAAAGTCCCCTCTCTCCCCCCTTTTTTTTCTTTCCTTTCTGACCCGCGGTCAGGAATGGGTCCCCCACTCCCGTGCAGAAGAGCTGCGCTGACGGTCGCGACGATTGTGTTCTTGGGGTTTTTAAAGCGGAAGGCTATGCAATTGTGGAGAAGCCAACACATTGTTTTGTATGCAAGGCCTCCATGAATTGCTTTAGAATTATTATCACTATAACTATAATTTACCCAGCAAAGCCTCAATGAGTCTCAGGACTTATTTTCACAAGTTTCCTGCTTTGACCTCCTTGGCTTTTTGCATTATGAGTATATACACACACATACATATATATATTTATTGCTTCTTGTGCCAGTAAACCGGAGTGCCCAGAGAAAACCCGCCCACGCATGTGAGGACTCAACGCTCAAACACACTGGATATCTTGCTGCCCGCCACTGACGCCTCCAACCCTGGCTGCGTCTGCGCCCCGTACACCCAATCTGACTCCATCCCTGCATGATCCACAAACCCCTTGCCTCCCTGTGACCGCGTCGCAGGCGAGCGTCACTCGTCCACCTCGATTAAAAAAGACAGCAATGTTGAATCGATGCCATGCCGGGTTCGCAGTCACCTTTATTCAGCCACGCCGCACAGCGTCGCGTACGCGACCGCCACGCTGTGATCCGAACTCCTGACCGATGAGCCTGAGCCCACACTCGGTGCAGTTGTGTGACGGTCATTTCCTAGCGGTGTTCACGAATCCGACCTTGTCACACACACAGTAAACGTATTCCCCCCACACCCCTAACCCCGTATACATTCGCTTACTTATAAATTACCGCAAAAGCATCCCTCCCCCCCGCCCGTGGTCAATGCAGTCCGCGCGTTACATATTTATCAAGTCCAGGGCGTAATTTCCTTTTTGACGTTCACATATCTGACCCAAGCACGTGTCCAGCCCACGGCGTGTTGAACCTACGACTTTGTAACCGCGAAACGAAGTCGATGGTTTCTCAAGACGGCGATTTGTCAGAATCAGAATGTGTATTTAAACCGCATGAGGAATCCGATGAGATGTGAAGCTATATCTCACAGATGTCCAGTCGGGTCGGGTAAGAACGTTACGACAACAAACAGTACAACAGCACGATATGCGTGCAAAGTACAATAAAGGTAAACAAATCACCCAAACACTCACAAATGAAACTAAACCATCCTAGCAAGACAAGGCCCACTGAGGTATTACATTCTTTTTCAAAAGCGACCTGGCCACAAATGATAGCTCAACAATCAGTAAATGTACTCCCCATTCCACCCCTTGAAGCTGGGTGCAGGGCCCAGCTTTGTACAATAGTCGTGTCCTCCCTCTCCTCCCTGCCCTGCCCTCCTTCCCCTTGTAGCAATGAATCAGGACCAGCAGAGGGAGTATTATTGTAACTATTTATATATCGGCCACGTTAAATCGATGGTAGGAATGGAACAGTCCCGCTTTTCTTAAATCAAAATAGAAGAAGAATCGTGGGCTCCACTGGAATTTTGGGCCCTGGACAAATGCCCCCCTCCCTCCCTATCCCCCCCCTTCCTCCACTCCTAGATCCAGCCCTGCACGGATGCTCTTCGTGTTGTGAACGTGCTATACCGAGGCACGCCATTGGCGCCGCAGAACGCTGTGCTCTTAATTGGAGTGATGCCCACACGCTCTATTTCGGACCTCATTTGTGAACCGCTCTGACCCTCGGTTAAACTCAGCGGAGGGCATCGAGAGGCATCGATTCAGCTGTCCTGCACCCCCCCCCACTCCCCAAAGGCCGTGTGCTTTGGCCACGAAACATGCACGTTGATGAGTTTGCTATACAAGCCATATGCGAGACCAAGACGGGCCCTTTATATAGAGCATCGCGCTACGCTGCTCATCAAGTCCCGATCGGGGGGGTGGGGGGGGTCGACGCGGCCTATCGTCTATCCTGATGCCGTAACATCGCGGACCACTTTTGTAGGAAAAGTCAAGGTTATCTGCGGGTGTGGATGTACGATCGCTCCCGCCATGGGAACGTGGAATTGACGTCGCTAGCTCGGTGCTGTAGGCAGGAGGTGAGCTCGCGAGTGGGCGGACAGTCTGACGTTGGTTGTTGTTGTGGCCGGAGCAGGAGTCAAACCCGTGCCATTCGGCTCGGCGGCGGTGAACGTTACGACCGCTGGCTCCTGTAAGTCCGTCGGTCACCGCAAGGGTCTTCGTGAACCCCGAGTCTGCGTGGCCGACCCCCGAGGCCTCTTTCGGGTCTCGGGTTTCTCACATTTTGGATGTCGCCGTGCGAATGAGTGATGGTGCCCCAATTGCGGATGTCGTATTATTCATCGAAGTGGGAGGGGGGGGGGGGCTTTGAAGTTGGCCGCTGGGTGGGATGTCGCGGTCGTGGTGGTTTGTTTCGTAATGGCCGTGTCGGAGACACCCCTGTCGGTACCGCTGAGATCCTAGAACCGAGTTCGGGTCTGAGTCGCCCAGCCGTGGTTTCGCCAGGTTCTCAGGCGCAGCGAGCCGAAGTTTATTCAGTGCGGCCGCCCCAATTTCCCCAACAAAACAACAACAAAAAACTAAACAAAAACCCAGAACCTCGTTCATTTTGCTTTGTCACCCAATTCATCAGATACCTCGAAACCCCCGCGAGAGATGACATTCCATAGAAATGCATTCCAACAGGCACGCACGGCAAACTCCCTGTACGGTTGGGGGGGGGGCTTCAGGTGAGCGCCTGCACGCGGGGAAGGCCTCGGCAAAGCGACTTGGGAGGTCGCGGATCCGTGGCGATGACCCCCCCCCCACCCCCCGCGTCTCCCGGAGTCGATCCCGGAAAGTGGCGCTCTGTTCTGCTCAACTTTGCGGGGTTGTCCCTGGATGCGCGTTTTTAGCCGTGCCGTCGCTTGCGGCGACTCGAGTTGGAGCAAAACGGCGATTAAGATTCCTCCGCGACGAATTATAAAATAATAAAAAGAACACAAAAATCGTAACATTTGCGTGTTGATTTTGTACTTCTCTCTCTCTGTCTCTCTGTATCTTCGGCCTCTTCCCGCCCCGAGCCTCCGATTGGCACCGTTGGCTACGTACGGTGTGAAATAAGTTCAGTATACATACAGGTACACATTTACTGCACTATACACCAGTACACCACTATTCGCCACGCTATACACTACACTATGCACTACACTACTACATTGAAAACGGATTTCTTTAAAACTGCTTTCATATTCTTGGTTTTTTCGGTAAAGCCACGTAGAAGGGAAGCAACACAATAACAGTAAAAAAAATATAAAACAATAAAATTATCCCGACTTTTCGATTGCAACACAAGCAATAATCATCAAGTGTGAAAACCACAGTAAGAAAAAACCCGCCATTTTTTTCAAAAATTTTCTTGCTGTGGTTTTCACACCTGATGATGATTGCTTGTGTTGCAATCGAAACGTCGTGAGAATTGTATTGTTTTATATTTTTAGTATTTTATTGTTTCCCTTCTACGTGACTTTACCGAAAGAACCAATAATATAACTGCCTTCCTTGTTTAGTTTGTCGTTCTACCCCCGCCCCTACGCTGAGCACGGTTTGCTCCGTACGGTGCGAAAGAAGTCCAACGTGCACACACATCATATACACACCCTTCGCATGTAGCAACGTGGGTTGGTTTTTTTTGGGAACAAAAAAATACGTCATTGTTGCCCTGTCCACAACGGCAGCGTCTCCACCCGCGTGTGCACGCAGGTGAGAAGATGGAAACCTCGGAACTTCTAGACTTTGATGCGCGTGATGTATGGTGCGCTTGAGTGACTTGCATCCGTATCATGGGAGCCTTTTTGTGCCAGTATCAACGTATGACAAGTAAGAAAAGGTTTGACCCTTTATGGCAATAAAACACCAAATAGATACATTTTTGCAAGGAATCAAGTCTGCATTAAACCACACGAGGTACTACTTGTGGTGAAACATGCAAACAAACATGCTCTGATAATTAATACCCGTGGCATCGTCTTTGAAACTGGTTGGCCTCTCGCTGTCCCTGATGTATTTGGTGTTTGGACATCTTGACACCTGTGTTATTGCCAGCAAGGCTAACGCCTGTTGTTATTTTTCAGGATTTGAATCTCATTTGTTTGAAGGTCCTTTGGGCTTCGAGGCAGTAAACGCACTTGTATGTCCCTAACGAAATGTAATCATTTGCAGTCATCATGAGCCATGATGAATCCACGGCTGAATGAAGACCTCCACAAACCATTGCCAAACCTTTTGTAAATGGATAAAATCGTTTTTTATTGATTATTACAAAAAATGGACTACGTGAAAATAATAATAAAATAAAATAAGAAAGTGAAAACAACTAATTTTATTTTATTTTATTATTATTTTCACCTACGTGACTTTACCGAAAAAACCAAAGCGTATGGATCCTTGCAGTCACGAAAACTTCAAATCTCGGACTACATTTCTCCAATCAAATGAAAGAATCTTATAAAGACCCATATTTATTATACAAAGCCTTACGTAAGTATAGCGTATGTTGAATTTCTTTCGCACCGTACGTAACCAACCGTACGAATCGGAGGTGCGGAGGCACTGTGCATGGCAAGTGGAATTGGCCACTCATCTCACCGTGGCAGGACCCTGCTGGAAAGGGCCTCGAGACTCGGCGAGGCTTTCCCAGGTTTAACGTTCGTCCTCGTTATTATTGTCCCTTGAGATGTTGTCATTCGCGTTGTAGGACGCGTACGTAAGACGCGGAAGCGAAGCTCTACGCTGCGCTTTCGCGTGAAAGTAAAATACGCTCCATCGGTCTGTCTGCTTTTCCAGGTCAATTTTATCCAGAAGTACTTTGAAGAAAGCAATTTCTCTCTCGGTTTCGACCTTGAGGCTAAAACCGGGGATGTCATGGCAAGAAGAGACCCTCAAATACGGCTTTAATCGGTACCATCGCGAGTGGCAAACCCGAACAATGATCGCCTTGAAGTATTGTCTCTCTGGATCACAGATATAAACGTGATAGCAGGCAGGCCCAGCATGATCGTTTTTTTTGTCATGAAGAACATGAGAACGGGGCGAAACAAACAAAACAACCCGAATGTGACATGAAACATCGCGGAGTCTGAAACATGAATGGGAAGAGAATCGAACGAACCAGATAGTAGCGGCGCTGAGCTTTCTGCCCACGATGGACACTCCCTATGGTGGACACCGGTGGCATCTGATCTCCCGTAAGGGGGCACCGACTGACCTGCTCGGCTCTGCGGGCCATGTTGGAGGGGGCTGGGGTGGAGGTTGAGCAGGCGAGTGAGGAATGTGCTGGTCCCTCGCTAATTGACCAGCTCCTCACGTGCACGTGCCGCGTGTCACGTGTCGCGCTGCTGTCCCCGTGAGGTCACGGAGCGGGGTCGTGTTTACGAGCCCCACTCCCCCCCATCTGCCGCCCCTCCCCCTTTCACTACTGCTCAAGGAGCATTGACCTCCACCCCCGCCTCCACCCACCCCAAAATGTCTCTGTCTGGCATCGTGGCCCCTATGAGAAAAAAACTCAAAAAAAAAAACTCATTCAAATAATCTCAGGTGAACGATGAGCAGGATGAATTGGAATGGGGCGTTGGGCAGGACGCAACACGAGAAGGGGTGATGACGATGGTGGTGGTGATGATTGTGGTGGTGGTGGTGATGACGATGGTGGTAGTGATGGTGGCCGGGGCGGTTGAGACGAACAACAGAGTCGCAGCCCAAGGACAGAACGCACCCGGAGAGGGGCTGTCCAACCGCCGAGACTGAGTGATGAAATCGGCTCGTGTGCAGGAGCTCGTATCCATGGATCGTCACAGCGTGTAGGGCCGCGAAGGGCTGGCAACGGATGAGGGTGATGATGCTCGTGATTTTGACGAAAACAATTTAATTGCCGCCGAGAACATTCGCCCTCTTTATCCGCGTTCATGCACGCGCGTGGCAGTGACCCACAACTGACCCCCCAGAAGTGCTCAATACGTCGCACTATCCGCCAGGTTTATTAATTGTCCCCACCTCCCCCCAACGGATAGAAGGAATGGAATATTCATCATCCTATTATCCGTGATTGCTCAGCAGGCCACCAGACGGGAATGTAATTGAATTGAATTGAATTTTCAGGGAGAATGAACAGGGGGAGAGAACAACCCACAGGGGCCCCCCTCTCACATCAACGTGCGCGACACGTATTGTAATGTACGGCGAATCTCTTTCGCACCGTACGTGGCCAATCGGGCCAATCGGAGGTGCGGGGGGAAGGACAACAAACTGGGGGTCTCTGTGTGAGTTTATGGATCTCTGTGTGAGTCTGTGGGTCTCTGTGTGAGTCTGTGGGTCTCTGTGTGAGTCTGTGTGTCTCTATGTGAGTCTATGGGTCTCTATGTGAGTATATGGGTCTCTGTGTGAGTTTATGGGTCTCTGTGTGAGTCTGTGTGTCTCTGTGTGAGTCTATGGGTCTCTGTGTGAGTCTATGGGTCTATGTGTGAGTCTATGGGTCTATGTGTGAGTCTGTGTGTCTCTGTGTGAGTCTATGGGTCTCTGTGTGAGTTTATGGGTCTCTGTGTGAGTCTGTGGGTCTCTGTGTGAGTCTATGGGTCTCTGTGTGAGTGTGTACGTATGTTGAACTTCTTTTGCACCGTACGTAATCGGAGGTGCGGGGGAAGGACAGCAAACTAAACATAACATTTGACACACTTCAATTGACAACACCTGACACTCTTGCAAATTAGACTTTACATTTCCACGCATTTTCTTGCTCAAATATTTTGACAGCAAAAACGTAAATCACGTGGAGTCATCTGCAACCACTATTCGTGTCACCAGCCTTCGATTCACACCGCAACCAGAGGCAGTCAGAACGACGTGAGATCGACTCGGGGACAAGATGCAGGCTCAGATAATTACATCATCATCATCACCACTGCAAGCCGCAATCAACTGCTGCAATATCTCTACAAACAACAACAACAACAATCTCGGTTGAAAAACTCATTTCTGTAGAACTGCTTTTTGTCTAAAACGTGCTCCCGTTCCACCGCACCGCACTGTCAGTTATCTCACCACAAGTTTTAACCTCGCACCTACTTAATGAGCCTGTGCTTCAAATAGAAAGGCAATGCTATTTAATGACCACTTGAGCACATGTGTGCGTGTGGTGCCCCGCTCGCGCGCGTGTGCGTGCATTCTGCAAAGTGTTATTTATTACGTGTGTGTGTGTATTAATACCCCCTCCCCTCTCACCCACCCCCGTGTGCAGTGCCGACCTTCATAGGTGCTCGCTAACTGCACTTACCCTAGCAGTCCGTGAAAGAGGCTATACGGGTGATCTTTGTTTTTGTGTATTAATACACGTGGCGATGGGCCACGTGGCGTTGCGACCTGGCCTCTTATTGCGTCGACTGTCCCGTCAACCTTGTGGCTTCTTCAGTGGCATATTCTTAGGTTTTTTTGGTAAAGTCACGTAGGTAAAACATTAAAATTAAAATTAATAAAAGTAAAATAAAATAAAAATAAAAATCACGACGTTTCGGAAGCAACACAAGCTTCCGTCTTCAGGTGGAACCGTCACAGCACGACAGCTGTATCAAGTAAATGAGAGATTACAACAGATACCACTCCGTATATATAATGGTTGCTGTGACGGTTCCACCTGAAGACGGAAGCTTGTGTTGCCTCCGAAACGTCGTGATTTTTTTTTTATTTTTTTTATTTTACTTTTATTAATTTTAATTTTTTTACCTACGTGACTTTACCGAAAAAAACTAAGAATATGAATCCTTGCAGTCACGAAAGCTTCAAATCTAGAATCTTCAATGGCAGTGGAGCCACGAGGTGCAGGGTCTGTCCACACCAGGGGTCTGCAACCCGCGCCTCTGGAGCCGCGTGCGGCTCTTGAATGACTGCTTCGTGTCGCAATGTCGGCAGGGCCCCACCGTCTCGTAATCGCCGCATGGCATTGCGGCTCTTGAAATAGGCGGGGTTTTTTTTCGTTTCTCACCGAATTAGAAAAACAAAAGGGCTCTGCTTTAGTTATTTTGATCGCCCGAGCCTGGTCCACACAGTGCTAAACAAACAAAACGTGAAATGTATCACCCCCACTTGCCCGTGTTAATTTCATGGATACTGTTGGGGGCAAGGGATGTTACAGAGCAAAGCGTTGGGGAGTGGCATATAACCCCGAATTCAGTTTTTTCAAACTCAAACCATTCTCCCAGACCCGATGCATTTCTCATCTCGACTTCTCCCCCTGCTCCTCCTCCTCCCATGCAATGACTTGCATGGAAATTAGGTCCATATCAGGTGTATAATAATAATAACATATGTTGAACTTCTTTCGCACCGTACGTAGCCAACCGTGATAATCGAATGTGCGGATGTCTTTATCCAGTAAAGCCTCCCTGAGCCTCAAGTCTCTTCTTCAGCTGGATTCTGCTGCGCTGGGGGGTTGGTGGGGGAGGGGGTTGGTGGGGGTGGAGGTGTTTAGCCAAGTCTATAAATGAGAGTCTGGCTCCATGTAGGAGGAAACCAGAGAGTCCGGAGAACACCAAAACCTCGCACACGAGAACGGTGACATTTAAAGGTGGGCACAGTGCGGGGTTCACACACTCACCCGCCGCACTGCCACCTCGAACGCGTGGTGTTAGCAGCCCAAGGTGGATTTTGCGAGCTTCACAAATCTCAACGGGATCCACCAACACTTTCCGTCCAACGCGCTGGCACCAGGTGCGCCACGGTGGTGAGATGTTAACTACCTCGCCTGGTATACAGGAGGTCGTGGGTTCGAACCCGACCCTGACGCCTGCTGTATATTTGGAGTTTGCGGTGTCTCTCTCTCTCCCCGATGATCACGTGAATTCTCCTCCGGGTCCTCAGTTATTCCCCCTCCACATTTAGAATGAACATCATGCGCTTAGAGTGTTTGGCTGCTGTACATTTCCACACGACAATAAGCCACTTCGTTAAACCGTCATTAGCGTTAGCCGGGTCGCTTCTGAAAAAAGTAGCTCCGTAGCTCAGTATGTGTGGGGTCACTGTGGGAACGGGGAGAGTACGAAGGGTGAAGAGGGAACCAGTGGTAGAGAGGGATCGAGTAGTGAGTCTGGGGAGAAGCCGGTGGTAGCCGATAGAGGTGCTCTCTCTCCGGTCGGTGGAGTCGGCAGAATCCCCGATCCGACACGAGAGAGAGACCGGAGCTAGCCGGCAGGGACCCGGACTCAGAGTAGGACCCCTAGCCCCTGGGAGTTGTGTACCGTTGTGTGTGTATTGTGAAGTCTTTAATAACAAAAAAAATAGTTTCAAAAAATAAATCGCCACCAGGCGTGCACCAAGACCCACCTCGAAATCTCCACGAATCTTAAATCGGCGTCGCCTCCTCCACCACGACCCCTCCCCTCTGGAGCCAAGGCCGGGTGCGGGCACGCGTTAATTCTCTCCGCCCGCTACAGGTCGGAGAGGATTTCGTCGCTCGTTGGCCCCACCGCGTCTGGCACGAGCCAAGTCGGGATTCGCCACCGTAGGCAGATGCGAGAGGGAGGAGAGGGGAGAGGGAGAGAGAGGGGAGAGGGGGGAGAGGCGACCTCCGCTCAGATTAATCTCCCGTGGTCAAGGGCGGCTCTGCTGCGGCAGACCAGTGCTGTAGAACTCACATTACCCCCACGGTCGATCATCATCATCATCATCAGCAGCAGCAGCAGCCTTGGTCAATCCACTGCTGGATGAAGGCCTATCTGGATGCTGGAGACAACGCGGTGCGGCCTCTTCGTTAGCACGGGAGTGACGCGTTGCTTCAATAAATGCGCACACAATAGGGCCCGTTAACACGTGAGTCCCCATACGTGGTCCTTGAATACATGAAAGTCAAATTGTGTTTACACATTCCATCAGCCACGCGACATTCTGGGATGCGCGTGCAGTCGCAACGACATTGGTTCAAGACGAGCAACAGTTCTGGACCAGATTAGACGCTTTGGTGGGTCGTACGTTGAACTTCTTTCGCACCGTACGTAGCCCAACCGGAGGTGCGGGTAATCGTGAGCAGAGTGAGTTCTCGCCCGAACCGAGGTACGGCGATCCCCATCGGCATGCGCCCTCCCCGCCTGTTCGCTCTTTGGTCTCGGCTCGCAAGTGACCCCCACACCCACCCACACACAGCAAGGTCAAAGTCACGGCCCAATTGAGAAGGAGAGCACACGAGCGATTGATGTATTTTTTTAGGGGGAGTTGTTTAGGTGGCGCGTGTTCATGCGTGGCCACTCAATCTCGCGCTCACAGCACTTGCCCCAACAGTCTGTTGAAAGGCTATACGGGGGGATCGTTTGTGTTTGTGGGATATGTGTCTGTATCGGTGACGATTAGCTGAACTGGTCCTGGCCTCCACCTCCCCCCCAGGTCGATTCAGCCTCAACTGAGTACAGTATCTGCTGCGGTGCGTAAACATCACCGCGGGGGAGACAAAGGCGGTCGGGCGTGGTTACTGGCCACCCACAACAGTCTGTTATGGCTATTCATGGGCTTTTTAAAAATCTGACTATTATATGCGCGTAAGTTACTAAGCATTCGTGCTGATGTATTAGTAAGCATGTACACATAAATTATGTACAAGAAGATGGGAGCCCATTGGGAAGGTATGTAAGCGTGTGTGTGTGTTTGTCTGTGTGTGTGTTGGTCTGTGTGTGTGTGTTGGTCTGTGTGTGTGTTGGTTTGTGTGTGTGTTGGTCTGTGTGTGTGTTGGTCTGTGTGTGTGTTGGTCTGTGTGTGTGTTGCTCTGTGTGTGTGTATGTGTTGGTCTGTGTATGTGTGTAATCTGTGAGGAGCGCTACGCATTCGAATCCCGCTCACAGCCAACCCCATTGACGACAATCTGAACCGGTCTTTGGCCTCCCCTAGGTCGACTCAGCCTCAAATGAGTACCTGGTGCTATGTGCAAACATCACCGTGCCGCCCTTCATAGACGCTCTCTAACAGCACTTGCTCCAACAGTCTGTACCAGGCTATGCGGGGGATCTTTCTCTTTGTAATCCGTGTAATCAGGCGAGAGCCCGAGAACACAACGCGCGCGTGCGTGCGCGACCCGGTCATCTCTCGCCCCCTCCACCCCGCCGTCTCCTCCTGCTCCGACTCGGACATCCGACTTCCCTCGGACGCAAATCCCATCCGAGCCGATTGCTGTGTTACCCCCCACCACCACCACCACCCCCCACCACCCAACACACCCCCACTGCTATTTCTTCCGGCGGAATGAGCCCACCTAGTGGAGGATAGCAGGGTAAGGTGGGGGGGGGGTGAGAGGAGAGGGGGGTGAGAGGAGGGGGTGAGAGGGGGGGTGAGAGGAGGGGGGTGAGAGGAGGGGGGTGAGAGGAGGGGGGTGAGAGGAGGGGGGTGAGAGGAGGGGGTGAGAGGAGGGGAGGTGAGGAGGGGGGGTGAGAGGAGGGGGGTGAGAGGAGGGGGGGTGAGAGGAGGGGGGGGTAAGAGGAGGGGGGAGGGGTGAGAGGAGGGGGGTGGGTTGCGCTTGGCGGAGATGATGCGGGAGAGAGAAGACGGAGAGAGCGGGATTTGCACCACCACCACCACTACAACAACCACAACCACCACCGCAACCATCGCCACCGCGACCATCACCACCAGCAGCAGCAGCAGCCGTGGCAGCATTCTCCGCCGCACTTGCCAGACACAAGCTTGACTCCTCGCCATAAGCCAAGGTACGCGCGCGTGTGTGTGTGCACGTATGTGTGTGTGTGTGCACGTACGTGTGTGTGTGTACGTGTGTGTGTACGTATGTATGCACGCGTACCTCCACTCGCCTTTGCGTACGTGTCGAGGTATGCGCAGTCTTCATCCCTCCTCCTCCCTCTTTGTTATTGCTCGGGCGCGTTCATCCATCAGTGATTTGTGCGCTATGCACGTCCACTGCGCCGTGCACGAACGACCGAGCGAATAGCCAGCTCCATTGGCTTTTTTCTCTCTCGACCGAATCATCAATCACTGCCGTTTATTTGCTTTGAAACGCGACGACGAAAGTATCATTATGCGGTATTTGTTTGTTTTGTTGCGTGTGTGATAATCCTCATCATCCTCCTCCTCCTCCGCCATCATCATGATCCACCGTGCGATGTGAAAAATAAAAATCCGCCGAGCACCTTGCACACGAGATGATCGTTGTTGTTTGCGATACAAACAATACCAACAACAACAACAGCAACCCTTGATGCGTGCGTGCGCGTGAGTGAGATGGATCCAGGGTGCAGTCGCGACTTGCCGATTCAGACGCGAGGGAGCACGCGGTGTTTGTGTGGTGCGTCTCTTTGTGAGTGTAGCCTTAGAAAGAGTGCTTGGTGAGCTACGTGAACATCACTGCTGGGGAGACAAAGGCGGCCGGGTGTGGTTACCGCGAGCTCATACCCCGCCCCCTCCTCTCCTGTGCCGTTCCAGCCTTAAATAGGCGCTCTCTATCAGCACTTGCCCCAACAGCCTGTGTAGTCTACATGGGGGAGCTTTGTCTTTATTTTTGATTGTGACATCGCAGGCCTGCGAGGGCTGGAGACAGCCTGGGGGGGAGGCCTTCACCCAGCGGTGCGTAGACCATGGCTGATGATGGTGCTCATGATGGTGTTTAGTTACGCGATGGTCATTGTTTTGAAGGATGAAATGGTGATCCTGATGGTAAGGCACATGATGATATGCCTCATGATGGCATATAGTTTATATTACTATGATGTTGCTGATGATGATGATACCAATGTCCACGATGATATCAAAATATACTGATGATGATATGTACTTGCATCAACCAGATATGCAATCTTGTTGATCACAGTGACGTCAATTGATATGATTACGTCAATTTGAATGGATGAATGATGATGATAAAATCAATTTACACGATCATGATGTCTAATTGCATGGCAATCATCATTAAATATACTGATGATGATATGTATTGCATCAACGAGATATGCAATCTTGTTGATCACAGTGACGTCAATTGATATGATTACGTCAATTTGAATGGATGAATGATGATGATAAAATCAATTTACACGATCATGATGTCTAATTGCATGGCAATCATCATTATTAGTCGTTGCATGATAGTCACAATCATGACATCTAGTTCCGTGACTTTAATCATCGTGACTTTGATCATCGTGACTTTGATCATCGTGACTTTGATCATCATGACGTCCGCTCGTGTGGAGCAATTTCCGTGCCGTCTGCCATCTCCATCGATTGCGGCTCCCTCCCCCCACCAACTCCCCCGTTCCCGCACAGCACTCACATCCCCCCCACCCGCCAGACACGACCCCCCCCTGCCCCCCAGCTCTTCCCACCCCCACCACTCATTCCCTTCTTTTCATTTGACCTTGACAGCACGACCTTCGCTTGGACTCGAAACTCAACCGTGGAACTCACGATACTCAATTCGAGCTGGCTGCTCGGATTAAAAAAAAATTCACTGCTGCGTCGATCGCGGGGACGTTGTTTGACCATACTTCACCACTGTGGACACAGTTGAACAACAACAAAAACACGTTGGGTTTTTGTTTGTCGTGATTACTGCTTTGGAAAGTGGTGCACAAGTAAAGCCCACACAACCTCGCGTGCTATGAAGACGATCCTTACACTTCTAAAGGCCACGGTGTCATTGCAGAAATTGTCGAACTTTGTTCGTGATAATTGTGCTTTTGCACCACTGCAGTAGCAGCATCAACACAATACTTGTTTAATGCAAACGCGGCTATAACGCTGCTCTAAAAAGGATATATAATAGGCGACGTTTCGGGCAATTGTCCTTCTTGGTGAAGGGAGGCCTACTTGTCCACTGATATCAGCCCGTGGCCGTGAATCGAACGCAGGTAGCTCGGTTCATAGCACATTGCACCACCGCTCAGCCTTGAACAGACTGTTTGTGCCAGTGATGTTAGCGAGCACCTATGAAGGCCGGCACGGCACACGAGGGGCTGTGTGGCCAACACCAGGCCCGGCCGCCTTTGTCTCCCCAGTGGCGATGTTTACACACCAGGCTGAGTCGACCTAGGGGAGACCCAGGACCGGTTCGAATAATCGTCACTGGTGCTGGTGACCGTGAGCGAGAATTGAACTCTGGTGGCCGGGATCGCAGGGCAGCGCGCTAACTGGCGCTACACACCGTGTTAGGCACACACACACACACGGCTACGTGCAGTTTAAAATGCATCCGAAATAGCCTTGCGGTACTAATGAGTCCTGCCGACCGAAGGCTTTTCCATTATCTCCACTTACAAGATGAAGGCTTTCCTCGTCTCATCCAATTACGAATCCCCGCTCAATCCTCAACCTTCATTCTGATTTGTTTTTTAATGGCACGCCAAGTTGTTGTAATTTTTCTTCATTCATTCATTCACTTGCACGCACCACCACTCGGGCTCCATTCACTACGAATAATTATTCCCCCAAAGTGATGTCCCACGCCTACTGTTGCAGAGCGCCTTCATATCAATTCGACCAATGCCCCGCATTTGGGCTTTGTGTTTAAATCCGCGGGGCACATTTGCCGCTTGTTGTCGATTCTTAAATTGGTTTTGGCTATCGTGGGACGGATCGGGAGAGGCCTTCATCCAGCAGTGGATCGACCACGGTTCATGATGATCATGACGACGGTTACATTCTCTCAGTTTCGTAATTCTCAATCCGTTAATCGGCAGAACATAATCCAGAATGCAGTTTCCACGAACATTACTTTTGGAGGTACTGTATGTCGTATTTAATTTCGCAGCGAATTTGGAGCCCCATAGCCCGTCACATCTGGCCAGTTCACCAACATCGATTCAAGCGAGCCTGACTCTGCTGATGAGACACTGCGTGCCGACGACGTCGGTACCAGAGTTTGCCCGTCTTGAATAATCGCTGCTTGAAATCGTGCGCTGCTCGAGAGAAGGGCGCGCGGCCGATGCTTTGTGTAAGAGATTCCTTTTTGTGTTCCCAACGTCGGGAGAGACGGGCGCGTGCGTGTGAAGGAGACGTTCTTTAATTCGTGAGGTCATGGGAGGCTTTTCGCGCACTCAACGCAGACGCCCCCCCCACTACCCAGCCCCCGATTCATGCCCCCCCACCCTATTCACGGCCACCCCACCCTATTCACGTCCACCACAGGCAGGGCAACAAATAAATGGGGATTAAATCCACCCCCCCCCCCATTCGTGCGTCTCACTTGGCAAATGCCGTAGCGACACTGCATGGATGACGGCTCCCGTTTATCGCCATATACAGGGCGACCCGTTTATAGATGCCCCCAACTCATTTCCCATCACCCTTTCAGCACAAGCGGGCTTTGCCTGGTGAGAATACAACAAAAAGAATAATAGTTGAGTTTAATTTGTCTTTTTTTTTAAAGCCGATTTGTTTACATCTCTCCTATACGCTGCAGTCCTGTCGCGTTTTTTGTTGTTGCGAGGTTCTCACCACGTGCCTCCCCCCCCCCCCCCTTTACTGGAACATCTGTGGAGCAGAGCCGTGTCGCTCATCAGATTCCTCCAGTAGAGATACACATTGTGATTCTGGCTTTCATCTCGGCGGTGTGACTGATTAACACGAGGAGGCGGGTTGCGGCTGCTGTACGAACTCTCCGTAATCGGTGTGCGTGTCCGACGTTTCCCCTCCGCGAGCTTCTTCAGCCGAAGTTGAGTTTTCGTCTCGAATCAGCCACCGACCAACAGCATTGGCCAACACCAACACCCCGCGCCTTCGCCACTTAAGTGACGGCGGCGTCATCACGACGCCTGCGCTAGGCCAGGTGCACTTCGAGGCCACGTGAAGTGTCGTAGGGCTCGTCCGCTGACAGGAGGTCACTGGTCAGACGTCGTGGCGTGGGAAAAAAAGACGAGTTGGAAGGACGCGTTAACATGTTCCGTGTCGCGTTACAGATCCGTCGCTCACGATTTCTCGGGCGTTCGTGCGTCCTGTCTGCGCGTCTATTTCTAGCCCTGCGCGTCCACCTATAAATAAATACAATCACGCACACACATATATAATAGCATCGTTAAACCTTTGCTCGATTCAAAACGCACTCGTGCGCTCGACAGGCGGCACAGAAGTCGATCGACGATCCACTTTGCTCGCCCGTGTTATCTCTCTCCGTCGTCCTCTCGCCGGTGACATCTCGAGAACAGCACCGACACCTCGCCGACGCACCGACACCACAACGCACGCAACCGAACGGCGGGCCATCGACGACTATTCTTCATTTCTAGATTTGAAGTTTTCGTGACTGCAAGGATTCATATTCTTAGGTTTGTTTCGGTAAAGTCACGTAGGTAAAAAATTAAAATTAATAAAAGTAAAATAAAAATAAAATAAAAATCACGACGTTTCGGAGGCAACACAAGCCTCCGTCTTCAGGTGGTACCGTCACAGCACGCTTGCTGTATCAAGAGAAATTCCAAGAAAACAGTCCTTGTATATATATACTGGTTGAGGGTGGGAGGAGCCAAGGTAGGCCCTGGATATTATTATTGTGAGGCTGAAGCACGCTGTTAGGAATGAGCATTTGTTGTGTAGACTGGTTGATAAGAGTTGGGTGTGTACTGTGTGTGTGTACTATTCATCCGATTTTAAGCTTTCGTGACCGCAAGGATTCATACTCTTTGTTTTTTTCGGTAAAGTCACGTATGTAGTGACTTTACCGAAAACACCAAAGAGTACTATTCATCACACCGCCGCCGCCGTCGTATTAGCAATGGAATTTATTATATCAGTTCATGTTTTAGTTTGGTTTTTATCTTTTATTTCCCGTCGTGCAGAGCCAGGTAGGTGCTCGCAATGTGCGTCGCGTTTGCGAAGTTCCTACTCAAGGGCTTCATTCGTGCACAGACTAAAACTAAATAATGTTTTCTTGGTTCTTTCGGTAAACATAATAAAATAATTATGTTTTATTTTTATTATTGTATTACTTCCCTTCTACGTGACTTTACCGAAAAAACCAAGAAGATGAATCCCTGCAGTCACGAAAGCTTTACATCGAAATTTAAATAATGTTTTTTTAAATATTTATAGTTTTTACAAGGCCCCACTGAGCTGTGTTATGGCTCGTTTTTTCAGAAGCTATCACAAATCGATAGCTCAACGAAGTGGCTTATCACCACGTTGACATTTATAGCAGCCAAATACTCAAAACGCGTGGCGTTGATTCTAAATGCGGAGGGGAATAACCGGAGAACCCCAGAAAACAATCCACGCGACCACGGGGAGAGAGAGAGAGGGAGACACTTCAAACTCTAAATATACAGCAGCAGGCGTCGGGGTCGGGATCGAACCCACGACCTCCTGTATACCAGGCGAGGTAGTTAACATCTCCTAGCCACCGTGATGACGATGAGAGAGAGACGCAAACTCTAAATATACAGCAGCAGGCGTCAGGGTCGGGATCGAACCCACGACCTCCTGTATACCAGGCGAGGTAGTTAACATCTCCTAGCCACCGTGATGACGATGAGAGAGAGACGCAAACTCCAAATATACAGCAGCAGGCGTCAGGGTCGGGATCGAACCCACGCCCTCCTGTATACCAGGCGAGGTAGTTAACATCTCCTAGCCACTGTGATGATGATGAGAGAGAGAGTCACGCGAACTCTAAATATACAGCAGCAGGCGTCAGGGTCGGGATCGAACCCATGACCTCCTGTAGACCAGGCGAGGTAGTTAACATCTCCTCGCCACCGTGATGATGATGAGAGAGAGAGAGACGCAAACTCCAAATCTACAGCAGCAGGCGTCAGGGTCGGGATCGAACCCACGACCTCCTGTATACCAGGCGAGGTAGTTAACATCTCCTAGCCACCGTGATGATGATGAGAGAAAGACGAACCCACGACCTCCTGTGTAAATACAAGGCGGCACACAGTTGATCGGTTTGCGTGCCTGAACGCGTGCAGTTTGAACTCACTCAGATGCAGCTGTGCGGTCGAACATAGGACAACCCTCTGTGTGTACTGTGTGCATTGTGTGTGTACTGTGTGCATTGTGTGTGTACTGTGTGTGTGTACTGTGTGTGCAGTGTGTGCATTGTGTGTGTACTGTGTGCATTGTGTGTGTACTGTGTGTGTGTACTGTGTGTGCACTGTGTGCATTGTGTGTGTACTGTGTGCATTGTGTGTGTACTGTGTGTGTGTGTACTGTGTGCATTGTGTGTGTACTGTGTGTACTGTATGCATTGTGTGTGTACTGTGTGTGTATTGTGTACGAGTACTGCTTGTGTACTGTCTGTACTGTGTGCACTGTGTGTACGATGTGTGTACCGTGTGTACTGTCTGTACCGTGTGTGTGTACTGTGTGTTTACCGTGTGTGTGCACTGTGTGTGCACTGTGTGTGTACTGTATGCATTGTGTGTGTACAGTGTGTGTGTGTACTGTGTTTACCGTGTGTGTGTACTGTTTGTGTATTGTGTGTGTGCATTGTGTGTGTATTGTGTACGAGTACTGCGTGTGTACTGTGTCTGAAATGTCTGTACTGTGTGCACTGTGTGTGTACCGTGTGTGTGTAATGCATGTGTACTGTGTGTGTGTACTGCGTGTGTGTACTGTATGTGTGCTGTATGTGTACCGTGTGTGTGTACCGTGTGTGTGTACTGTGTGTGTGTGTACTGTGTGTGAGTGTACTGTGTGTATCAATATTCTGATTTGATGGAGACCGTGGCTGCCTGCATGGTATCCCCTCTGCCGCCCCCCCCCCCCCCCCCCCAGAAAATCGTGCAGCCGGGGCTATGGCAAGCAACTTCATCCGCGCGATGTTGGGGGGCCGAGGGGGCCTCATGCTGGGGGCTGCGGCGGGGGCCGGCATCGTGGCGTCGGGATTGGCGCTCAACCGGGACTCGAACTGGGTCGGAGCGGCGATGAACACGGGGAGGCGCTTCTACCCGGCCAGGCGAGAGCGTGGGGGCGGTGGGAGGGGATCGGTGGTGATGGTGGTGACCAGGGTGACGATGATGCTGATCGTGATGATGATGCTGATCATGATGATGATCGTGATGATGATGCTGATCGTGATGATGATCGTGATGATCGTGATGATGATGATGATGATCGTGATGATGATAGTGATGATCGTGATGATCGTGATGATGATGATCGTGATGATAGTGATGATGCTGATCGTGATGATGGTGACAGTGATGATTGTGTTGAACACTATTCTCAGTGCTGATGATGATCGTGGTGATGCTAGTGATGGTGTTAATCGCCGTACGCAGCTCTGATGATGATGATGATGACGATGGTGATGGTGACGATGATGGTGTTGATTACTATTCAGAGTGCTTTTGCTGATGATCGTGACGATGGCGATGAAGATGGCGATAATGATGATGATGATGAGAGTGATGATGGTGGTGTTGATGGTGACGATGATGAAGATGATTTATGACGGTGATGATGACGGTGACGATGATTATGACAGTCACGATAATCGTGACGGTGACGATGATCGTGACGGTGATGATGACGGTGATGACGACGACGGCTGACGGTGGCGTTCGCTGTCCACAGTGCCGAGTACCCGGACTTGCGCAAGCACAACAACTGCATGGCGAGCAGCCTCACGCCGGCGGTGTACGCGCGCCTCTACGACAAAGCCACTCCCGGCGGCTTCACCCTGGACCAGTGCATCCAGACCGGCGTGGACAACGCCGGCCACCCCTTCATCAAGACCGTGGGCATGGTGGCGGGAGACGAGGAGTCATACGAGGTGCCGCGCTGTTGCTGTGCCTCGTAGCGCACTCGGTAGCTTCACAAGAAGTGGGGGGGGGCAGGGGGGTGCCTTGCATCCCCTCTCCCCCCTCCCCCCCAGTGGCCAAAGCTAACATGAGAGATGTGTTTTCGACGGTGTGAAAGGACGATAACTTATTTTAAAACGCGGTTCAAATTAACACAGTTCTGCTGCGGAGGGATCTGGTAGGAACGTTGGGTTGCTCGGTCAATGGCCAGGGTCAACGGCGGCGTGGTGTATTCCGCAAATGTGGCCGACTGTGAGGGCGGGCAGAAGCCGGCGTGAGTAGGTTAAACGTTGAGTTTTATAAGGGCACCACGGGGTGACCAGCCCCTCCCCACCCAGCCCCACCCCTCTCACCCCCCAACCATCTCAATGGATTCTTTGTCACGTGGACACAGAGCTGGTTGCTCGATCGGAAACCTCCCCCCCCCCCTGCACCCCCACCCTCTTCCCCCCCCTCCGCCACGTCCAAATTTATCGTAACTCGGCCACTGGAGCCTTTGATCCTCGTTGGCCCACGTGCAGTCGCACCGCCTGCACACTTGATAGCTGCACCACTCACTCCCGTGCGCCCTGTCCCGTGTCACACCGCGTCACGTCTGACCATGCCGTAACCACACCACACCACCTCCTCGCCACCACACCGCCACGCCGTAACCACACCATGACACCGCCACCACACCACCATCACACCACACCACACCGCAACCATCTCGCCACGCCATAACCACACCACCCCACCAACACACCGCCACCACACCACCACCATCACCACACCACACCGCCACCTCTCCGCCACCACACTGCCACCACCTCGCCACGCCATAACCACACCACACCGCCACCACACCACCACCACACCGCCACCACCTCGCCACGCTGCGTGTGGTTCCACGCCGTGCCGGTCCTGTGTCTCGCAGGTGTTCGCGGACATTTTCGACCCCGTGATCAAAGAGCGGCACAACGGGTACGACCCGCGGAAGATGCTGCACAGCACGGACCTGGACCACTCCAAGGTGAGGAGCCCGGGACGCACGGAGGGACGCGGAGACGCTGAGAGAGACGTCGAGATGTGCAGCGGGAGACGTAAACTTTGTTTAGAAGCGAGACGAAAAACTTGCTGAATGTGGTTGAATTACTCATCCAACTCTCACCCTCTCTCTCCTCCCCACCACCCCCTGTCCCTCTGTCTCCCTCCCCTGCTCCCCGTTTGTCTGTCTCCCCCCCCACTCGCCCCCCTCCCCAACTCCCTCTCTCCTCCTCTTCTCCTCCTCTTGCCCACCACCGCCCACTCCCAACACCTCCCTATTACACCTCCTCGTGCCCCCATTTCCCCCCGTACCACACCCCCCCCCCCTTTCTCCACCACCACCACTACCACCTCCTCCACGGCAGCTCACCCACGGCGTTATGGACGAGCGCTACGTGCTGTCCACGCGCGTTCGCAGCGGGCGCAGCATCCGCGGGCTGGCGCTGCCGCCCGCGTGCACGCGCGCCGAGCGGCGCGAGGTGGAGCGCGTGGTCACCTCGGCCCTGGGGGACCTCAAGGGTGACCTCGCGGGCCGCTACTACCCCCTGTGCGGCATGAAGGACTGCGAGCAGGAGCAGCTCATATCCGTAAGGAGCATCGGCAGACGCGTCACAATAGAGCCCCCCCCCCCCGTCCACCCAGCTACCTGTCACTGATTGGCTGGGAGGTGGCGGGGAGGGGCGTTATGGGGGATGTAGGTAGAGTAGTGTAGCTGAGTGGGTCTTACCTGGTTAGAAATTTAAAAAAGTGTTTAGTTTAGTTGCATCGCCTCCCCTCCCTCTCCCTCTCCTCCCCGGCTAATCTGTAGCGGAATGGGGAAGTGCTTTCCCCCCCCCCTCCATCCCTCACGAGTGAAGGGCGCCACGATGTTAACTACCTCGCCTGGTATGCAGGAGGTCGTGGGTTCAATCCCGACCCTGACGCCTGCTGTATGTTTGGAGTTTGCGTCGGTTTCTCTCACTGCGGTCGCGTGGATTTTTCTGTGGATTCTCCTTTTTTTACCCCTCCACATTTATAATCAATATCACGCGTTTCGAGCATTTGGCTGCTACAAATTGTCCACGTGATGATGATAAGCCACTTCGTTGAGCTATCACATGTGGCCAAGGTCGCTTCTGAAAAAATAGCTACATAGCTCAGTGGGCCTTACCAGGTAAAATAGATTTAACAAAAGTTCAGAAGCAGTGCTGAGATGTCTACTTCCACGGGCCGTTATTTAACACGGCGGAGTGGAGGTGGCTTGCACCGCTCCGCTGCGAGATTACCGAATGGATTCTTGACGCGACGCCGTTTGGCCCACGTGGGTCAGGGGTTTCAGGAGCAATTGTAGCCGGCACTGTTGAAAATCTGGGTTCGACTTCAGGTTTCAGTCGCCGCCGGCCGGCGATGGGTCTCATCCCGTTCACCGTGCAACGACCGCACACACACACAACAAATATCACAATTTATTGGGGATGTTTTTGTTTTGCCGTTTCATATGGCAGATACCAGCCCTGCGAGATGACATTTTTCGAGGGTAATAAATGGACACGTGGCTTGGTATGTGGCAAGAAAGCAGATCTTGTTAAATCAAGGGTTGTATTTCAATCGCGTAAATTCCAGCTCTGAGAATGAAGAGAGACAAAAATAATCGTCGACTGCAATGGGACATTCCCCTCGCCTCATGTGTGCGGTGGGGTGAAAGGTCACGGAAGGGATCTCAGAAGCGGTTCTGTGATAGCAACTTCCACGGACCGTTCTTGAACAACATAGACTGCCCTGACAAAGTCTCCGGTAGCTCGATCGGACCCCCCCCCGCTCCCCCCCTGTGCCCCCACCCTCTCCCTTGCCCCCCCCCCACCTCCTCATCCAAATTTATCGTAACCCAGCCACTGGACCCCTTTGATCCTCGTCGACCCGCACGCAGTTACACCGCCTACACACTCGATATGTATGTGTGTTGAACTTCTTTCACACCGTACGTAGCCAACCGTGCTAATCGGAGGTGAGCTGGGAAGGACAACAAACTAAACACGAATACAGCTGCACCACTGACTCCACCACTGACTCCCCCCCCCCCACCGCTCACCCTCGCCGCTTTCTCTGTGCCCTCACCTCTATCGCACTCACTCACCTCCTTCACGCAGGACCACTTCCTGTTCGACAAACCCGTGTCGCCACTGCTCACCTCGGCTGGGATGGCCCGGGACTGGCCGGACGCCCGCGGCATCTGGTGAGTCGGAGAGGGAGGGAGGGTGGGGAGGGGAGGGAGGGAAGGGAGGGGAGGGAGGGGAGGGAGGGAGCGAGAGGATGGAGAAGGGGAGGGAGAGGAGGGAGGGAGCCATCCCGGTGGTGTGGGGAGGAGAGTGGAAGATCGGTTAGGTCAGTGGCTCTTCGCCTGGGGTGCACCCTGCACCCCCTGGGGGTGCGAGATGCCCTTTCAGGGGGTGCGAGATGTGGCCAGATTTATTTTTAGAAGGTGAAGTATGGTCAAACAACCCCCACGACCTGCTGGCGTGGTGTGGCCCTCGTCCAGCAGTGGAGTGACACAAAGTGCTGTAGGTCGCGTCGCCAAGATGTGAGTGCGGCTTGCAGCGGTGCAGGGCTGACACCACCGCTGACGATCGTCGACGATTGTCGTCGTTGTTATCGCTGAACGAGTTCACACGGGAAAGCCTCACCAAGTCAAGAGGGTCCTGCTGAGATTCTCGCAGGACGGGGAGATGATCGCTGCTCTACGACTTTCCCAATTTCAGTGGTTCGGGAGTGACCTTTTTTTGTTACTTTGGACAAAGTTGGCTCGTGACGCCGGCGCACGTGGCCCTACGGTGTTCAGACGATGACGGCGATGACGACGAAGACGGTGATGGTAACAATGATGATGACGACGATGATAATGAAGACGATGACAACGGCGATGACAATGATGATGACGACGATTATGATGACAATGAAGACGACGACGATGATGATTACAATGATGACGACGATGATGACGATGACAACGACGATAATGATGAAGATGATGACGATGATGACGATGATGACGATTATGACGACGACGATGATGATGATCATAATGATGATGATCATAATGATGATGACAACGATGATGACGATGATAATGACGTTGATGCTGACGATGACGACGATAATGGTGATGGCGATGACGATAATAACGAAGACGATGATGATGACGATGTGGTGGCAGGCACAACAACGAGAAGAACTTCCTCGTGTGGATCAACGAGGAGGACCACACGCGACTCATCTCGATGGAGAAGGGAGGCAACATGAAGCGAGTGTTCGAGCGCTTCTGCCGTGGGGTTAAGGAGGTGAGGGGGGCATCCGTGCCTGTGCGTGCACGCGCGTGTCTGTGCGTGTGTGTGCGCGCACGCGTATGTGTGTGTGTGTGTGTCTTTGTGTGTCTGTGCGTGCACGCGTGTGTGTGTGTCTGTGTGTGCACGCGTGTGTTTGCGTGTGTGTGAGTGTGCCTGTGTGTCTTTGTGTGTGCACGCGTGTGTGTGTGCGTGTGTGTGTTTGTGCGTGGGGAGCGGTAGTGTAGTGGTTAGTGTGCTGCGCTGCGAACCCGGCGAGCCGAGTTCGAATCCCGCTGACGGCCAACACCACCAGTGACGATTATCTGAACCGGTGCTGGGGCTCCCCTAGGTCGACTCAGCCTCAAACGAGTAAACAATTGAGTAAACGTTTGAGGCTGAGTACGGCGTGTAAACATCGCCACTGGGGAGACAAAGGCGGCCGGGCGTGGTGTTGGCCACCCACTACCTCGCGTGTCATACCGGCCTTCTAGAACTGCTCGCTAACGGCACTTGCACCCACAGTCTGCTCAGCCTACACGGGGGCTTGTTGTTGTTGTCGTCTTTGTTTGAAGGTGGAGCGACTGATCCAGGAGCGTGGCTGGGAGTTCATGTGGAACAAGCACCTGGGCTACGTGCTCACCTGCCCCTCCAACCTGGGCACGGGACTGCGGGCCGGCGTCCACGTCCGACTGCCCCTGCTCGCCAAGGTTAGGGGTTGGACTTCAGGGCAGTGGCGGAACGAGCGTGGGGGGCAGGCAGGGGGTGCCTTGACCCCCACCCTGCCCCACCCCCCCCCCCCGGGTGGCCACAACTACGAGTTGAAGGCCCCCCCATTGACAACCACCATGAAAGATGTGTTCGATAGTGTAGAAGAACATGCACTTGGTCAAAACGCGGTTTAATTCTTTATTTATTTTAATGAAAATGCTTTATTTTACGTTCCACGTTTCATTTTAATTTAATGGGAGCGGTAACGTTATCTTGCAAATAAATTATCCGGGGCTGATAAGCGGCTGCTGCATTTGCGAAGTGTTCGAGACCGTGAGCGTAATGATGATGTGATGAGGGCAAGAGGTGCGACCGTGCGAAACAAAAATCTAAGATTGGGGCCCCACCAGACCAATTGCCGCACGCCCCCCCCCCCCACCCCCCCCCCCCCCCCGAGCTGATGATAACGTAGCTACCACGGTCACTGCTTCGGGGTCAGGTGTTAGTACCGAGGCTGGGGGGTTGGTGCTACGGTTAGGGTTGGGGCTCGGGGTTAAAGTTCGGGTTGGGCTCCAGGGTCAGGCTGAGGGTAGCTCCGATAGTTATCGTCTCAATCATGCACACGCACGATGGAGAAGTCCTGAACGCAGCTCACAGACGTGTCGCTGGATCAAGATCATCATCATCTTCAGAGCACTGAAACCATTATAATGCATCATCATCATCACAGTCATCATGACGTGTAAGTTGCAGATGCAACATGTTTGCGCGCGTGCCATTGCACGTTTGTATGTATGTATGTTGAACTTCTTTCATGCCGTACGTAGCCAACCGTCCACAACGGAGGTGCGGGGGAAGGACAGCAAACTAAACATACCAATTGACACCTCAATTGACAACACCGGACACTCTGGCAAAATTATATTTTCCATTTCCAGGCATTTTCTTAAAACGTAAATCACGTGGAGTCATTCTACAACCACTGTTCGTGTCACCAGCCCTCGATTCACACCGCAACCAGAGGCAGTCAGAACGACGTGAGATCAACTCGGGGACAAGATGCAGGCTCAGATAATTACATCATCAACATCACCACTGCAAGCCGCAAGCAACTGCTGCAATATCTCCTCAAACAACAACAACAAGACTGCCACTACACACTGCTGAGCTTGCAAATTCGAGCGCATTCTTTTAAATCTAGGTTGAAATACTGATTTCTTTAGAACTGCTTTTTGTGTTTTAGCTGTTATCATTCCCCCGCGCTTTCCGAGGAGCACGGTTGGCTACGTACCGTGCAAAAGAAGTTCAACATACGTACACACATAGACTCACACAGAGACCCATAGACTCGCACAGAGACCCATAGACTCGTACAAAGACCCATAGACTCGCACAGAGACCCATAGACTCGCACAGAGACCCATAGACTCGCACAGAGACCCATAGACTCGCACAAAGACCCATAGACTCGCACAGAGACCCACAGACTCGTACAAAGACCCATAGACTCACACAGAGACGCATAGACTCACACAGAGACGCATAGACTCGCACAAAGACCCATAGACTCGCACAGAGACCCATAGACTCGCACAGAGACCCACAGACTCGCACAGAGACCCACAGACTCGCACAAAGACCCATAGGCTCACACAGAGACCCATAGACTCACACAGAGACCCATAGACTCACACAGAGACCCATAGACTCACACAGAGACCCACAGACTCACACAGAGACCCATACTCACACAGAGACCCATAGACTCACACAGAGACCCACAGACTCACACAGAGACCCATAGACTCACACAGAGACCCATAGACTCACACAGAGACCCACAGACTCACATGGAGACCCATAGTTTGTTGTCCTTCGCCCGTACCTCCGATGAGCACGCACATTCCGTGCGGTGTCAAATTGGTGATACGATACACAGACACTCGTACGATCGGTGGTCATAGAACGGGACACAAACAACACCCCCCCCCCCCCCCCAACATAATGATCAAGGCGCTCCCTCTGACGTCTTCCGCTGTCCCCAGGACCGCCGCTTCGGGCAAGTGCTGCTCAATCTGCGCCTGCAGAAGCGCGGCACGGGTGGGGTGGACACGGCCGCCACGGGTGACACTTTTGACATCTCCAACCTCGATCGGCTCGGCAAGTCCGAGGTAAGCCCCCCTCCCCCCCCCCCCGTGCCCATCACCTCCATGTCCCCAATTAACCCACCACCGCCCACCACCCCCACTTTTTTTTTATAACTCTATAGCAGTGACTCTTCACTAATTTTCAGAGGGGGGGGGGCGGAGTCACTTTTGCCGATTAGACATCGTCAGTGTGTGTAAGAGTCGCCACACCACGTGTCTCTACCATTGGGGGTTTGACAGCAGCATGATGATGATGCTGTTGCTGCTGCTACTGCGGTGGTGTTTTCACTCTGTCAGTGGCCCGCGGGCCTCGCAACGAAGACCCAACCGCTGTAGCCCCACACAGCAGGCACGGATCGTGCACGAGTCGGCCCTCTACCGCCACCTCGTGGCGCGCCACGGTGTGAACGCCTCCTCGACCTCTCTACTGGACAATGGACTCGCGTCGCCATCTAGTGGTGGACGCCCTCTAGTGGTGGATGCCCGCTAGTGGTGGACGCCCTCTAGTGGTGGACGCCCTCTAGTGGTGGACGCGAGAGTCGCCACCTCCCACGCGGTGTCACGACAGTTTTCAGTTTCATTTCATTTGTTTGGTATAGCCCTGTGAGCTTCCGTGGCCGTCTGGAACGCTCTCCCCTTCCGATATTAGGAGGCCACTTGGAGCTGTGCACTTTTAAATCATCACATAGATTGAAAGCCAATTTCTTCAGAACTGATTTGTGTTTTAGTTTGTTCTTTCCCCGCACCTCCGATTAGTGCGGCCGGCTACGCACGGTGCGACAGAAGTTCAACGTACAATACACAAGTTACTCTTCGGTTCTTCGCAACACAAGCGGAACTGCTGGACACGTGACCTTGCTCTAAGTGGGGTCATTCCGCCTGGGGACGACCCGCTTGTGTTGCGATCGAAACGTCGTGATATATTATTATTTTTGTCTTATTTTATTTTTCTACCTACGTGACTTTACCGAAAGAACCAAAAAGTATGGATTCCTGCAGCAGTCACGAAAGCTTCAAATCAAGATTAATACACAAGTTAAAAACAAAGGACAAAGTTGGGAAATAAACCTGAAAAAAAGGGGGGGGGTCTGGAGTCTTTCCCTGGAATTATTTACAGTGACATTATTGACGAGCCAGTGCCGGCCTGCTCCGTAGCCCTGCGACGTGACCCTGTTTTAAGTGGGGTCATGCAAACAACCCGGGGGGGGGGGGGGTTACGACAGTCAATGTTAAACAAACTTTCAACAAAACGCGAAGCAGAGCGAGTGGTGCCGATGCCGCCCTAGTCTGCTCCGGCCCCCGGTGCCGCCGGTGTCGAATGTTGTACAGTACTGACGTCTATTGACTTGGCGATGAGAGTTTAGAAGGGTGGCTGAGCCCTTCAGCTTTACCATGGGGGGGAGGGATCTCCCATTGAATCGGGGAGGAGGGGTTAATCTTTTTCGTTGGTACAATCCTTAATTAAACGCCATTGCTCGTGTTATAGCTTCTTTAAGAGATCCGTGGAGACGCACATATCAGACAAAGGCGACACACAGACCAGGCACCGGTGTGTTGGAGACTAAACCCACATTGGCAATTCGAGTACGACGTTTCGCCAGTAATTACAATTAGCATCATCAGGCGACAGCCAGATTGGCGAAACGTCACGGGACTCGGATTGTAAATGCTGCAGTGGGTTTACTCTCCAACACACAACACAGCCGAATTGTCACGTGTTGTTGACGTGACGAACCTCACGACTTGGCTGTGTCGGGTGGTGGCGGGTTTAACGACACAACTTTTATATGTTTCGATTTAAAGCTTTCGTGACTGCAGGGATTCATCTTCTTGGTTCTTTCGGTAAAGTCACGTAGAAGGGAAGTAATAAAATAATAAAAATAAAACCTAATAACTTTTATATGTACGCGATATTCCCTCCGTCACGGGTGACATTCGCCGACCCTCTCGCCCACAGGTGGAGCTCGTGCAGATGGTGGTGGATGGCGTCAACTATCTCATCGAATGCGAGAAGCGGCTGGAGCGGGGCCAGGACATCCGCGTACCCCCTCCGCTCCTGAGCAGCCCCGCCAAGTAGAAAAGTCCCCCTCCAATCCCCCACCGCGGGAGAAGAAAGGAACGGATGGGAACAACTTCGACGCCCCCACAACGTCCGCCGCCTCCAAGCTTCGTCGACGCAGGGGAAAGAGCAGCATCACCATCATCACCATCTTCACCATCACCACCTTCACCACGACCATCATCATCATCAGCAGAGTCCCGACGTTCTTTCCTGCCGCAGGGCTTCCACAGCGGAAGCGACGTCTCGTTGTTTAGAAGCGGCCTGGCTGCAGCATAGTCGCCTCTAGTCAAGACGAGTAAATGTCATTTTAGTTCTAAACGGGCGAATTGGTTTAGACTTATTTTGGTACCTTTCTTTGGACCGCGCTGGTAACGATGTCGAACAAAATGAAAGTACGTGAACCAGGGTTTAATTTCAGACCGGGTCAGTGACCCCCCCCCTCCCCCAACAAATATATGCACACCACATCCAGGATACCTCTCGCTACGGCTGTGGCTGCTGGTCACGTGCCACCTAATTGCGAATCTACGAGCGACCCAGACACAACATTTAAATGATTCACGGAGAAAGTCCGCTGAGATGTGAACCTCCCGTGGTGATCGATTCGTACAGCCATGGCTGGCGGGGGGGGGGGGGTGTACGTGTGTTGTTGTGTTATTCGTTCAGGAGCTGGGCAGGTGCCCCTCCACATTTGACACGCGATGCACAGCCAACGTCGTCTCTTCCTTGTTGTCGGGCCTCAGCGAAGTGAATTCGTGCAGTGGCCCAAATTTGCATTGCACCGTCCCCACCTCTCACGATCCCACCCACACCGCCCTTTCCCCCTGTGTACTTGGATGCTACGTCTAAACCCTTCAATGGCATTATTGTACAAGTATTGTATTATATCGGTGGCGGTGGTGGTGTGTATCGGCGTTCGTAAACAACGGGGCTCTGCTGCACTCAAGCATGTCCGTTTTGAACTTATAACACCCCCTGAAAAAAAATGTGAACATTTTAAACGAATTAACTTATCACGACTGTAATGCGTGATCTTAATAATAAAAAAACATAACGCAAACACCAGACATCGGCTCGGGTGACGTCGTCTCACTTCTTGGGGGACACACTTCCTTATACAAAGTACGCATTTTCACCCTCCACCCGAGGCAATTATACAATTACTCGAGCAAATACATTTAGAAACACACAACTCTTATTACGTTCGAGGTACTCCACCCATTATCGGTTCATTTGCTCGACTCGTCGGACACCACGAAAATCGTTGGGACAAAAGTCTCATCTGTTCCACGTGTCTTGATGGATGGGAGGCAATGGGGGGGGGGGGGGGGGGTGCCTGACGTCATCAGCATCACACCCGGTGTGTTTTATTGGGGGTTTTCTGCCTTCACGAGGCAGGATGTGGGGGCGTCCGCCATATTTGTTGTTGTAACGTTTTGACCCACCCCTACTGGACATCTGCGAGGGGGGGGGGGAGGGAAGAGCTTTATAGCTCATAGGATTCCTCCAGTATAAATATTTCAAATTTAAAGGGGCCCAAATTAATCGACAAAGAAAAGTGGATTACATTTTTCAATCGACCACGTGTCCCACCACCCAGCTCTTGAAATGTCAACTGCGAGCCGACAGAAACCTTCGAACATGCGTCGATGCGTCGTTAGGCGCCTAACGATCGCCTCTAAGCTGGGTTCACGTTTGCACCAGTTGGCGCGCTGTGCAAGTACAGCGCTACATTTAAATCCCCAACAGAGTTCTGGAGAAACGATTAGTCCGCACACGGCCAAGCGGTCCGCGTGCTCGCCACTGGATCAGATCGTAATGTCAGCAGTTCTCACCGCGATTGCCAACGTTGGGCTGTAAATATCCACTAAAAGCCCTCCGATTATTCATCAAGAGCAGGCCATATAGTATTCGGGTGTCACGAAGCTAATGCATTCACAATGTCCTCTTTATGTGCGTAGTTTGTCAAGGTCTCCATTGCAACAGACACAAAGAAAGCCAATGGGCTTCCACACCTGTTTAAAAAAAATAAAGGACATCAATCTGACGGCACACCACCAACCAGCAACCAACCACTCCATCACAGTACGACAAACAACAGGATGCCGCCGGGTACCGTAATTAAAAATCAAATTTTATTTTCATCCGAGAAAGAAAAAAAAGGAAATCCGACACACTGGCTTCTTCAAGCGTGGCAAGCCTCATCATCCACACCTCCCTCCCCAAAACACATAAATATAGAACTCTGTAGAAAACCAAGGGGCGAGAGGGTGCAGTAACCAGGGTCAAGCCAAGACGTTCAAGAGATTTAAAAGTAGCCTGCAGGAGCAAGGGGGGGGGGGTGGTAACAGGGAACAGACATTTTGTGCCGACCGTATCCCCCACGGGTGGATGGGTGCCAAGAGGTCATTTGTTTTTATGTTAACAACGTTGTAGTAGTAGTAGTCTGGGTGTACAAGTGCAGTCCTTGGTTGTCACAATTGCAAGATGTCAAACGCAGCAGGGAGTGGTAACAGCTGCGATGACCGGTTAACACGCGGGCAACTCTGCGACCATGCCACGAACTGTTCCAATCTCGCCCCCCCCCCCCCCGAACCCGCGACACATACTGCACGCACGCCTCCACAGACCGCCACCAGAGGGAGAAGCCCGTGAAATATCCAACGGTACCGCTCGCTCGACGATCAGATTAAAACATTCACACTTAATGCAAGAAAAAACAACCGAGGGTAGAGGGGAGAGCAATAAAATGACCAAGTAAAATCTAGCATTATACAATATAATACAAAGATAGATGGTTTTTTTGTCCAGCTGAATAGTTTGGAGAAGCAAACCAAATAATAATAGTACACTAAATCACACACTCCACCCGCTCTCTCCCGCAACCGCGCAGCAACCACGAACGCATTTACGCACGCCGTCAAAATAATAAAAACCACGATGTACATTAAGCAGCCCGTGTCTCCCACTTTGTAAGCTATGGGGCGGGGTGGTGGTTAGGATTAACACAGATTATTCAAATGACGACCGAAAACACGCACGGCCTAAAAGATGTGACGCACCACCTCGCAAAAAACTTTTCACAAGGACGACCGAATTATTCATTATGAAGCAGGAATTTGTCTCTCTTGACCTGTGTAAAAAAACGGACCTTAACGAACAAAAATAATTAAACTGAGCTCGCAAATAATCACAGCGTTAAAATACCCTCAGTTTGTGTCTCGTCGTTTTTTTCAGCCGAAATGTTCCAAGCTTTACGATGCAACCTGAACAGTTCAAACCTAACGACAACACGGACAAACGTACGGAAGGGGAGGGGGGGGAGCAAAACAAAATACGTAAGTGAAAGACGCCGCGATTTGGCCAAGATTGTGCAGAATGGAAAGGGGGGGGGGGGCGGCGTGCACGCTCGCCTTTTTCCCGCGACTTGCCTAGTCACCAATCCAACTACGTCACGCGGAGAATCGGGGGACGAAAGTAAAAAATAAAAGGTTACGTATAATGTATCAAGCGTACGCTTGTAAAAGCAACAAGCGACAAAAAAAAAAATCAAAATAAAACTCCCTTTAGCGGTGAGAGAAAAAGGAACAAAGTTTTGCAGGCAGCAGGAAATATTTACAAGTGACTGATGCAGGCAGGATCGAGCAAGTTGGGAGCCTACTCAAATACTGATTAGCCTATCCGGAGCTTGCTGCGATGTTTAACACACCTCCACAGCGAGCCTTCAAAAAGGGCAGAAATCCAGATGTCGTTCAAGCAAAGACAGATCACTGCCCAAATGTTAAAGGCGCTAAAATGTGACATCTGTCTGACCAGGAACGGGAATACAGTTTTAAGTTAAGGAATTCGATAAATCCAATGCTTTTTTTCAATTCGCGTGTTTTTTTTGTTATTTGTGTTTTTTAAATATATTTTATTGGTCGGGAGCTTTTCATATCTTCTGGATCTTCTGACCGACCACGACGGGATTCTCCTTGCGGATTTTCTCGGCCGCTTCGGACCTGTAGTCGTACGGGCATTCGTGCTTGTCCGAATAGCGGTGGAGACCGCAATACATGTTCCCACAACGGCACTCGAAGCCTGCGGGGCACGACCAGAGGGGGGAGGAGGGAGGGGGATAGGGGGAGACAGCGCGTGCGGTGGTTTGGTGAGTGGTGAGCATCGCTCCCCCGCGGGCTTAGCGCTACGCTAGCGTACACTCACCCGGAAAGCCGGCTGATACAACGGTAACAAAAATTTATACCCGTAAAGCTAGCCTTTGCCATCTGTGCGCTATGGATCGGGCGAATCCCATCAAACAACGTGCTCGTAAAAATTAATCCGCCTTGCGATCCGATTGAACCCGTTACAATTTTGGGTGGCGATTCCAGTCGCGTTACTTGTCGCCTGGCTTTTCTGTTTGTTTACGATTTGTTGATGCTGTTTGTCATCGTTTGATTAGTATCATTGGTCGTTCATTTTGTTCTGTTGCATCATTTCTTGTTTACTTAATTTAATTAGGATTGTAAATAATATATTTCATGCGATTTGGATTATTTGTTCATTCCCTCTTGTTTCTATCGATGCTCTTTAATCCTCTGGTCTGTCCAGCTTCTGTCTTGCTTGTAGTTTCATCCACTACATTAGCCAAATCGTAACGCGGGGAGAGAATATCATTTGGCCACGTTGCATTTCCTGACGCACGTAGTCGTGAACATCAAGAACCGATTTACGTCTCCTGATTGATAAGAGCCCACCCAGCAGTAGCAATCGGCTTCCAGCACACCTTGCGCAGTCATCAGCGCAACGTACTATGAACTCGGCAAGCAGAGTTAGATTCCCGGCCGAGGCCAACAAACCCGAGTAGCTCGTGTCACCTGCAAACTCTAACACCCCAACCCGCGCTTCACCAACCCACACTGACCAGCATGGTGAAGTATGGTCAAGTCAACCTCCATGACTGACAGCCCACACAGTTGGAGTAAGGCCTTCAGCCTTCGCAGCAAACTGACAAAGAGCTGTACACTATGAGGTTGCACTCAATACAGGCAAAGTACGTGCTATAAAATGAACCACAACAACCTTGTTGATCTCGCCAAGGAGCATAAACTATCACGTGGCCGCCGCTGCGAGGTTATCCTCGCAGCGGCGGCTTTTGCCTTGCCATTGAACAAAGACGGTCACCGCACAGCGCGCTTTCAAGTGCGCTTCTGCGGCCATCTGGAACGCTCTTCCTTCCAAGATCAGGAAACCACTGGGAGCTCTGCACTTTCAAATTGAGATTAAAAACTCTCTTAGGACTGCTTCTTGCGTTTACGTTTGTTGTCCTTCCCACGCACCTCCGATTAGCATGGATGGCTACATACAGTGCGAAAGAAGTTCAGGACATATGTACATACACACTGTGGACAACTCGCTACCACTGGGTGTGGATCTCACCTGTGAGGCCGACCTTCTTGCGGCAGGAAAAACAGCGGCTCTTCTTGGGCTTTTGCTTGTCGTTGGTCTCCTTCTCTTCCGTCTCCTCGCCTGACGGCTTCCCCAGCTCGGAGGACGACAACGACGTTGCTGCGACAACAGAGAAGGGGGGGGGGGGGAGCCGTTAAAAAATCATCACCATCATAGGTCGTGATTTATCCTCTGCTGGATGAAAGCCACAACTATGGACCCTGCCCTCCCCAAGTCCTAAGCTGCCATCATCCACCTCGCTCCGACACGTGACCAGATCTCATGGACCCCCCCCACCTCGCTGCTACACGTGACCAGATCTCATCGCCCCCCCCACCTCCACGATGGGTTTCTCTACTGGGCCTGCTCCCACCTCTAAGCTGCCAGAGTCTTGTTCATTGGCCATCATCCTGCGTAGCCATGTCTTGTCCAAAGCCTCTTTAAATTCGATCACAGCCACTGTGTTTTCTCAAAAAATTCGTGTCACTTTCACCAACCCACGTATTTCTACTCTCTCTCTCTCTGTCCTTGAGGTATGCATGTTGAACTTCTTTCGCACCGTACGTAGCCAACCGTGACAATCGGAGGCGCGGGGGCAGGACAATCTAAAACGCAATATACTCAAAACGCACAACGCGTACACGGATGCAGTTGCAA